TGTGGGAGTGTTTCTGGGCGTGGAGAGAGCGGGGAGCGCAAGAGCTTGAATGGGAGTCGGTGGGCGGAGCGACTCGGCACTGTTTCATGCCAGAAGGCAGTCATGTGGTGATGCCATGGTGGCGAGGAGTTCCCACGAGATACCTTCGTATCAGCACCTCATCAATGTCGCGACCCAAGATGAATTCCACCAGCATTCTCATGAACCGACTCTGTACTACGACCTGCAACCCGTGCCGCAGTTAGTACACAAATCCTTGATACTTTTATGCAAAATTTACCGACCATTAAAGTCCGAAGAATCTGTGACATAAGTCATACACAGCATGTACACAACCGAAAAGCCGACATTTTCTCAAGAGGTTTTATTGTTTTCTTATATGAAACCTGCTTCTATTCATCTATTACTATTACCTCTCGACTCCTTATACAGGGTGTTCGGCTACTCGTGTTACAAATTTTGCCAGTAGATTCTCATTCAAAATGGAACCAAAAAGTTCTAATCAACTATGGTCTGAATCCCAAAAGTTTAGGAGTTATTTCACTTTTTATGATTTTTTAAGATTTCACGACCTTGCTTCAAATAAACAATGATAACTCCAAAATTAAAGGTTTTGGATAAATCCATTGATGCCATTAAAAACTACGTTAAATTTCTACAAATATCAAGATCAATACTAAACTTGTAAACGTTTGTGAAATAAGCGTTTTAGTAGCGAGAACTTTGAATTTTTTTTTTCAAAATTGAAATCTTATGGTGATTCTAAACTACTATTTCCAAACCTAGAGATCAGCAAATTTCAGAAAACGTACCTCAATTAATATTTTTTCAGTGGTGCAATTGGTTTTAAGAAATTCATTCAAGATTTCCTTAAGATTTTTTTTTTAATTTGCCACCTTACCGATCCGTCAGCCACGGTTTTTTTCTTTCCTCCATTAATTTCTTCATCTTTGAAAAAATTAATTAAAAAAGTAATTACACCACTAAAAAAATATTAATTGGAATACGTTTTCTGAAATTTGCTGATCTCTACATTTGGAAATAGTAGTTTAGAATCACCATAAGTTCTTCAATTTTGAAATTTTTTTTTTCAAAGTTCTCGCTACTAAAACGCTTATTTCACGAACGTTTACAACTTTAGTATTGATCACATCTTATTGGAAATTTAACGTAGTTTTAAATGGTATCAACGGATTTGTCCAAAACATTTTAGTTTTAGAGTTATCATTGTTTATTTGAAGCAAGATCGTGAAATCTTAAAAAATCAGAAAAAGTGGAATAACTCCGAAACTGCTGAGATTCGAACTATAGTTAATTTGGACTTTTTGGTCCATTTTGAATATAGAATCTACTGACAAAGTTTGTAACACGAGTAGCCGACACCCTGTATAAAAAAATATAGAGTAAAGTTATTCCTTTTATGATTTATCCCTCTTAAAACTAAATAATAAAACTGCAAGAGCACAGAATGCCTACCGACAAACAACCCGGAAAAAACCCTGTTTTCTATTTCATAAGATTAAACAACCACCCTTTTAGAAACTTTCTAAGCTAATAATCAATTTTCAATCGCAATTATACAAAATTGAAGAATTCGTGTTGGAATCGTGAAACCCTGTTCGAATTACTTGGAGCGGTTCGATACCTGTTGTTCGCCTTTCCAGGCGTTACATAACTTGTAAACTAAACTTTAAGCGATAAAAATTGTTGTCCGCTTCTTGATCCTACCCTATCGCCTTTTACCACCCTGATCAACAATGACAACTCTCTTCGGCGAACTATACGCCATTCCAGTCCGACGCAGTTGAATACGACGGTAAATCACTACCATTTACAGGGTTTTCGGCTACTCGTGTTACAAACTTTGCCTGGAGATTCTGCAATCAAAACTGTACCAAAAAGTCCAAATTAATTATGGTTCGAATCTCAGCAGTTTCGGAGTTATTCCACTTTTTCTGATTTTTTAAGATTTCATGATCTTGCTTCAAATAAACAATGATACTTACAAACCTGAAATGTTTTGGACAAATCCGTTGATACCATTGAAAACTACGTTAAATTTTCAATAAGATGTGATCAATACTAAACTTGTAAACGTTCGGAAAATAAGCGGTTTAGTAGCGAGAACTTTAAAGAATTTTTTTTTCAAAATAGAAAAACTTATGATGATTCTAAACTACTATTTCCAAACGTAGATATCAGCAAATTTCAGCAAAGTACTCCATTTAATATCCTTTTTAGTGGTATAATTACTTTTTTAATTACTTTTCCAAAGATGAAGAAATTAATGGTGGAAAGGAAACAACCGTGGCTGGCGGATTGGTAAGGTGGCAAATTAAAAAAAAAAAAAAATGAATTTGTTAAAAGCAATTGCACCACTGAAAAGGATATTAAATGGAGTACGTTTTTCCATTCCTCCATCAATTTCTTCATCTTTCCTGTTTTGGACAAATCCGTTAATACCATTGAATAGTAGCGAGAATTTTGAAATTTTTTTTAAAGTTGAAAAACTTACTATGGTGATTCTAAACTACTATCTCCAAACCTAGATAAAAGCAAATTACGGAAAACGTACTCCATTTAATATCTTTTTTTAGTGGTACAATTTCTTTTTAAATTATTTTTTTCAAAAATAAAGAAATTGATGGAGGAAAGGATAAACGTACTTTCTTTAATATCTTTTTCAGTGGTACAATTGCTTTTAATAAATTCATTCAAAATTTCCATTCAAAGTTTTTTTTTAATTTGCCACCTTACCAATCCGACAGGCATCTTTGAAAAAAGTAATTAAAAAAGAAATCGCACCACTAAAAAGGATATTAAATGGAGTACGTTTTCTGTAATGGTAAAAAGTTTTTTTTTTCAAAGTTCTTGCTACTAAAATACTTATTTCACGAACGTTTGCAAGTTTAGTAAGTATTGATCACATCTTATTGAAAATTTAACGTAGTTTTCAATGGCATCAACGGATTTGTCCATAACCTTTTAATTTTGGAATTATCATTGTTTATTTGAAGCAAGGTCCTGAAATCTTAAAAAATCATAAAAAGTGAAATAACTCCGAAACTTTTGGGATTCAGACCATAGTTGATTAGAACTTTTTGGTTCCATTTTGAATGAGAATCTACTGGCAAAATTTGTAACAGGAGTAGCCGAACAACACAGAAATTAAATTTTTTAAATAATTAAAAACTTCTTAACAAATAAATAGTTTTTTTTTGTAAAAAACATAATTTGATCAAAATTAGTTGCAATTTTTTAAGCAGTTAATAAAATGTAGTAAATTGTTGAATATCAAGCAAAATCATAATTATGCTAAACCGTCACTTATTCTTTATTTGCGGGTTCAATTACTTCAGTTCCTCGCTGAAGAAGTTGCAACGGCGAACGCGTTTGAATAATACAACAAGCGAGTGAAGGCGGACCCAACAAGTGGCCCAACGCCGGTTCATCAACTCTAAAATCAAACCTTTACCGGATCATCAAATCATGGTCATCAAAAAAAAAAAAAGAAGATAAAGAATATAATGAATAATAAGAATATAATGAAAAAGTTAATAATTTTGAAAATTAAGTAATGAAACGGAATTTTCTCCTAGAGACTTCAACCATGGAAAATTTTATTTCAAGAAATCGATTACAATTTGTTTCAATTTACATTAAAATTGTTAAAATTTACAAAATTCTTTTATTATTATTGTTATTAATTTGTAATGTCATTCGGTTTTTGTGGTGTTGACTTATAAGAGGTTAAGTACTTTTTATGTTTAAGTGTATGTGTGACTACTACTGACATGGGATCTCAGATTTCAATGATAACTTTTTTTGTGATACTGGTACGAAAAATTTGACATCTATCCGAGCTTTCATCCCGGGCTAGGAGACTTAAAACGATTTTAAAAGGAAGGATTAAAAAAATAATAATAATAGGTCAACAGTAGTCAGATTTTGTCAACTGATGACCACGTTAAACTCTTTTTTTGCAAAAAAAATAAGTAAAATAATTTTTGTTTATAATGCGTTGACTGTATGAATAAAGTTCCTTATTTGAACAAAACCAAAATGAATCAATTTTAAAACCTAATTAAACTGAAATTTTAGTCAATTATCATTTTATACTTAAACATGGAATGTTTGTGATTTCGAGGATTTTTATCTACACAAGAAAACCGACTAAATATAAAAGAGCTTAGAAGTTAAAAGGCTTCGTACTAATATGAAAAACTCTGACGGACAAGTTCATTGTTTATTTTTTTGATATTGTGTATTAAACTTGTTCAAAAATCTTTTTAAATGCTTTAATCGGCGTCCTGGTCGTACCAGATTTGTATGTTGACAGTTGTATGCTGTATGGAGGATCGGGGCTGTCCAAATTGCTGACAAACTTTTAACCATCGAGTATCAAAGGCAATTATTTTCCCTTATATTAAAAAAAATCCTAAAGCTAAGAGATGTCTTCTTGATGTTCTGCGGGGTGTCGAAGCTGTAGTTTGATCGATTCCGTTTACATTCCAAAATGATCGGAAAAGGCCAAACTACAAAATCCTTTGTCCAAACAACGAGAATGAACGGTTTGAATACAATTTACATATATAAACCACCCTTTTTATTCGAAATGATCTATCTCTATGACGTTCACAGCATTTCTGGATTTTAACTGTAAATTTAATAGAAGATTAAGCTCAAATAAAGTCAGTGTATAAATGTTAAATTTTAAGTTTAAAATGTCTTTTAGAAGTTTCACCTGGAGTAAAATCAGGGAGACGAGGAATGACATGTTTTTTTATAAATAAAACATGAGAGGGTAGATCGGCCTGCCTTCACCAATCTTTGAATCTCGGTCAAAGATTCAAATGAATGTTTCTCGATGTAAATCATTAAAGAACGGTTTTTCTTAAGCTGACGTTTTACTGATATTAGGTCAAATTTTACTACCCAGTATTAGAAAATCAATTAGATGATTTTGATTGATGTTTTCTCGGCATTTGCATGTATTTCAGAAGTTGCTGTTCGAATTCCGTTTACCTCGGAAGCGGGCAGGTGGCCTCTAGTGATATGGCTATGGAAGTACCCCAAGTAGACAGCACGAGGGAACACCCTCCGAAGAAAAGAAAAGCGACGTCTTCTTATCAGTAAGAGAACATTTTTATACAAATAAATATAACATAGAAATATGTATTTAGGGAAAATGTAATGGGAGAGTCTTACATGGGTTGAGTGAAAAAAATTCCTTTTGGGTGATGTACCTTCAGTTATGTTTCTTTCCTATATATTGCTAAGTTTTCGTACACAGAAGGTGAAAAGTGAAAAGGCATGAAGACAGACGACAATATAGTTTCAGTTCATAGTTACTCGAAAAGCCGTTAAAATAGATGAATTTTAGTAAAATGCTAATAAGTCCTACTGAAATTGATGGAAAGTTTATATTTAATCTTTTTATGTAAGGTTTTGGTTGAGATAAAAAAGTCAGCGTCACGAGCGGGATTCGAACCCACGACCTTAGGCTAAATACGCCTCTGCTGTACCACTTGAGCTATCGTAACTTCGATCCACTCGGACACCAACTTCCTATTGTTTGGAGGAAAACCTTTCGAATTTTCCCTTCTTTTTGTCATTTTTCAAATATGATGATTCTCGGTGACAAATGAAACGGTCATGGAGAGCTTTAGTGAAGATATACTTCGGTTTTACTTATTAAATCCATTATATTTCGAAGTCCGATTGACCAAATAACTTCTTTCAATTAATTAATATTTTTATGTTTGGTGCCCGAGTGGATCGAAGTCACGATTGAATCTTATTTAGTGGGTAGAACTCAGATAACAAAAGTTGGCCCAGTCTATAGCAATCCATTGCCATTGGGCACCTTCTGTGGCGTCCCTCAAGGTACGGTTTTCAATCCCCTGTTTTTTCTTTTATACATTAATGATCTTTTAAAATTGAAAATATTCTGTAAACTTTTTAGCTACACATTGATTCTTTGGTTATACGACTGAGAAAACTTCTTTTTATAAATTCAGTGCATTAAGAAAGATCCTAAATTTAAAATTGTTAAAAATCAGTTTATTATGCCTTAGTTCACTCTATGATTTGCTATGGTAATGTTTCATGGGTGGAACCAGTAATTGTTATTTAAATCCATTGATCATAACTCAAAATTCCCTTTTGAGAACTATTCTTTCCAAAACTTTTAGATTTAATACCAATGAACTATATGGCATTTTTCAGGTTCTAAAATGTAAACAATTGTTTTTAAAATGGTCTTGTATGTAGTCTTTAAAAATAACCTTTTTGCTGAATCCAACAATGAGTATCAAACAAGAAAAAAGTAGTGAGTAATATTTTTATATCCTAGGTAAATACTAATTTTTAGTAAATCCATTACAGTTCGTGGTCCGATTGACCAATTAACATTTTTCAATTAATTAGTATTTATGAAAGTTATTGGTCGAGAAAAAAGTCACCGTCACGGGCGGGATTCGAACCCTCGGCCTTCAGCTAAATACGCCACTACTGTACCACTTGAGCTATCATATCTTCGATCTGCTCGGACACTAACTTCCCATCTCAACCTCACCTCTCGAATTTTCCCTACTTTTTGCCATTTGTCAAATGGCGTGTAATTTTAAATAAAAATGAATAAAAATTGTATTTAATAAAAAAGTCGCGATAGCTCAAGTCGGAGACCAGCGATATTTAGCCAAAGGTCGTGGGTTCATATCCCGCTCGTGGCTCTGGCTTTTTCATTTCAACCAATACCTTACATAAAGATTAATTAATTGAAAGATGTTATTTGGCCAATCGGACTACGAAATATAATGGATTTATATTTAATGGAGGAGTTGCTTGGGACAATAATAACTTGGTTCGTAAAAATGCAGATTTTGATGTAAAAAATCCTTTCGGTATGGCTCAATGTTAATATTTATTTAGAAATCGTGACGACTCTCGACACGACACGCAAAAATGACACAATTACACAGAAGACAAACACTTTGAGCCCTGAAGATGATCTCAATAAAGATCGAAACGTTGGCACGATAAAGAAAATGTTATTTTGAAACCTACATCACACCAGACCGCATATCACGATTTCTAAATAAATATCGATTAACGGTCACTAATCACCACACTTTCAACGAATTAATTTCAGGTTAGTTTCTAAGTTTCTAATCAATGAGGTTTTAATAAAACTATTGCAATAGGTTTTCTGGAGTAAATCCCCTTCCGTTTAAATTCTATAAATGAGATCGATTTCCATTTAGCCGAATCTCCGGCTCTCGCACCTTCAGACTACTATCCGTCAACAAGACGGGGTTTTGGAGAAAAATATAAAACAGTCGAATCAGTACTTTTTTAACACAAATTTTAATTTGTCCAGTTGAGCTTTGAACCGCCAACTTCTCACACCCCCAAACTATCCTTTATATATGGTCACGTCGACTGGAAAAAGTTCCTGGCCAACACTAAATCACAAAACCTTGAACAATCCACTAAAAAACCGAGAACAATTAGACTATGCAAATCATCAGTGTACCTTACCTCAATTCACGTCATCACATCAACGACCTCGCAGACACACTACACTCTATCCCTAGACAAATCACTCAGGACTGCGACAGAAGGAATCCTTAAAAATTTCGTTCGTTCTCCTCTTCGTCGTGAAGACTGCACTTGGGTGGCTTCTGATGAAGACGAAGACTTTCTATTTTGCATCCTACTTGTTTGAACAGGACCTAGATACCTTCCCCTAAATCACTCCTAAAAAACTTCGTTCCTTCCCATCTTCGTCGTGAAGACTGCACTTGGGTCGCTTCTGATGAAGATGAAACCTTTCTTTTTTGCATCCTACTTGTTTGAGCAGCACCTAGATACCTTCCCCTGCACCACTGCTAACAAATTTCGTTCCTTCTCCTCTTCGTCCTGAAAACTGCACCTTGGGTGGCTTCTGATGAAGATGAAGACTTTCTATTTTGTATCCTACTTGTTTGAACAGGACCTAGATACTTTCACGTAAATCACTTCATCAGATGTCAAATTCATCATCACCTCCTAGTAAATAATCTGCCTTATCACCACATATATCCTCCCAAATCGTCATAAAATAATGTTTCTTACCGCCATTTACAACTCACTCATTAGAACTACCTACTTACCAATCCAATGGAAATTATCAATCATAAAACCCATTCTCAAACATCAAAGTATCAGAATCTCCCTAAGTCACAATTCTTGAAAGATTCCTCCTTCGAAGCTTTAGTCATTCCATCTCATCAATTTAGGCAACATCATTTTACCAGTCAACATTGCCACAAGGCAGGTATCATCGCATCCGCACTTGAAGAGAAGGAATGTTCGAGCGGTGCAGCATCCAGGCTTTCTCTGGAAACTCAAAGGCACCTTTCTATTCTCTTATTACCACATCCAAAAAATACTCTGCCCGATAGTACGAATCGGCAGTATCTTTCTCCCTCAAAGTAATATTCTCGGCCCCATTCTCAATTCGGTATAAACTGCCGACATACAATTCCGATACAGTACTTGTGATATATGCAGACAATTTCGCCATCCTTTCAGCAAACCTAGATCCAGTAGTAGCTTCGAAAGCCTTCTGGGCCGTCTCTCCTGTTTTCTCCTGTTTCTCCAGGTATGGTATGGTATGGTGGAAAGGATGCTAGGAAGCGGGGTTTGTTTTCCCCAGGCACTGCAGCCAGAATAATTCTGGCTTATTGTACCTTCCTAGTTCCTTAGTTCAGTCAATAGACTCAATCCTTCTTTTAGAAGTATCAGGTCATTGACTGTTGCTGCTGCAATTTGATTCCCTAAGTCTTTTCCGTACGTTAGGTTAAACCTCCATTGAGCTGTTGCTTCGCATTCGAAGATGATATGAGTGGCTGTTTCCTTCTCCTCATTACATAATCTGCAAATGGGGTCATCGCTGTATATACCCATATTGTGTAGATGTTTTCTCAGATACCAATGACCGGTTAGTAGTCCTACCACTCCTCTGAGTTTGGCCCTCTCCAATTGTAGCAGTGTTTTTGCCATTCTCGGTGAGGGTTGTTTCATCATACGTTTACTATGTCTAGCACCGCTAGAGTTTATCCATTTTTCCTTTTGTTTTGCTTGGATCCATTCTGCGATGGAGGATTCTACATTTGTTTTTGTTATCCCATGTTTCTCCAGGACAACAAAACCAAGTCACAGGAAATCTTAACCATTCGTTATGTCATATCTTCTGTTCCTTTCCCAACAACCAATGTCGTCCGCTATTTGGTACTTTACATAGTACAGATTTACATACAAACTCTGCTTTACAAGTAATCGAAATTCTACAAAAACGCCTCATTTACACATTAATATTATGACTGTTTTGGACTGTGGGTTCAACCAAGCGTTCCAAACTCCAAAGAATCCAGTCGCCATAGTCTATGCCCGGAACACTCGTCCAAGCTCTCCATTTCGTATTTAACCGAATCATCCACCTAGACTTTCGAACCCCTGTTCTCGAAACCGCTAAAAGTCGATACAGATACCTCCACGCAAAAGCACAATGTGATGATTTTTCTTCAATGGGTAATATATTTTTAAAACTTTTTATGGAAAGATCCAAGTAAAAATAGTTGAACCGCTTTATTCCATAATTGCTAAAATTAATATTGGTAATTTTGTGTTCAAGTGTGTTACTCGTCATAATTTTTCACCGGCCCGGGGCTTCATACTTTAATTTAATCGGTTTAATCGCTGCATAATGCCAACTATAAATAAATATCCATATATATTTTAACTTTTCTTTCTCCGTTTACACATCAAATATTTCACATATTGCTCTCTCGTTTCTACATTTCGATTATTATTGTATTTCCAAATAAATTTAGTAAAAAAACTATAAATTTTATATTGCTTTGTACATTTATTTATTACTATATTAGAATTACCCAAGAAAAGTGATAAATCTTCAATTATTTTATCAATTGGAATAATTTGTAAAAATGATAGTTTAAGTCCCTTTAATGATAATTTAGGGATAAAAGAGGTGGCCTTCGAAACTCTTGCACCTAGACCTAAAAAATCTATTTTGTCCCTCTATTTTTGTTCGAGCTCACTAGTAAGCGTTTTAATAATTGTTAACATCTAAGAGCTGATCTGTCTTCCTGCCTTCTTGGCACATCAGACGGTTTTCTGCACTTTGCCATCTTCATTGTTGGTTCTGGAAAAAAGACACCCAGACAAAACCTGAAGAAATGCAGAAACGTATCTGACAAACCAAGACAAGGAAAGGCAAGCCAAAATAATTTTTATTCTTTACTGTTCCAACTTTAGCTAAGCTTTTTTATTCGAAAATTTTATTTCCTAGGATGCAATATAGAAGGATTTAAAAAAATGCTTATGCCTATGGTCCAAATTGGGATTTATCTCTTTTCCTGTCCGCAGTGACTTAGGGATCATTACGAACCAAAACGGTGACCTTTTCTTTAGGTGTTTGAGCACGTTTTCCTCGGTGTCACTCCGCAGTTTTCTTCGGGCGTTGAGATTACCTTTTCAAAATGGCAGTTGCGCCGAGTTACTCGGCTAAGGCCACACCGAAGTTGTCCAGGTTGGCGCCAAGTTGTCTGAAGAATCTCCTGGAGGACAACCACTTAGAACATTTGGGGCTGGCCAAACAGTCGTTAGTCGGCCACGTGAGTAGCTTGTCTCTCTGGAGGAACGGCCGAGTCGGTTTTGCCTGGCGTTTTGTCTAGTGGTTTTTAAAATTTGATGATGCGTGATGACTTAATAGCTGCAGTTTTCAAACGAGAATGAGTAATCCAGCTCATAAACTTTATACAAGTTTATCAAGTCAAAATTGTGGGAAGATGTAAAGGAAATTCACATTTTCTCTTAAAATTAATACGTTACACTTAAAAATTTTGAGAGCAACGTTTCAACAATGTGATCAACAACTATGGCGACAGGCTTCCATGCTTTGGTTTGGCCGCTAGGTACCAGGCGAGTCATCAGTAACCAGGCGAAAAGCGACATTTCCGGTGTGGCCTTAGCAATTCGAAATATGTTCCGATGTCACCTTCTTGACAGATTTGGGAAGTTTTGCTCTGCCATTTTCCTAAGGAAGTTCATGATCATACTCAATCCCTGCTAGCCAAAAGAGTGTTCATATATCAGACCTGATATTCTAGACTACTGTGAGATTTCCCTCCGACCAATTCAATTTAATTTTCTTTATATGATTAGTGTTTAGTGTTTAGTTGTAGATCTGGCTCAAAGGGAGCCAGAGCTAGTTTTTTTTTGCTAATTAATCAACTATTTTCCTCTTATGCCATCACTATCACTCCAGTAGTGCCTGTAGAGTCTTGACCCATACATTTGAGAACTTTTAATGGCTTGTAATTTTAATGCTTTCATTACAAGTTAACTGTATGAAAGTACGTATGTTTGTGCTTACTTCTGTACATGATTTTCTATTATGCAAAGAGGTCAATTTTCTAGTTTTCCAATAGACATAACCGCGACTTGGCCTCAGCAGAATTTCTCAACTTTGTCGTTTATTAATCTTCATGCAAGGTATTGGTTGAAATGAAAAGTTAGTGTCACGAGTGGGATTCGAACCCACGATCTTCGGCTAAATACGCCGCTGCTTTACCACTTGAGCTGTCGCGATTGGTGTCCGAGTGGATCGAAGTAGTAGTTACTAAAGCTAGTATCGAAGGGGGGTAATTTTTTTAATATGAATTAGTAGTGGATTAGGATGTGGTGATCTTTTTTTTTTTTTTTTGTAAAACACTATTCATTCATTCCTACTTCACTGGTCTGTCTTAAAATGCCGTAATGCGTCTGAGAAACAGCGAGAGTAGGCGGATCAAGATGGTTGTAAACAACGTTCATAACTAGGGCTGTGAAATATATGCATTTGCATATATTTCCTGGTTAACTAAAATATCCAGTTTTAACAAACTGTATATGTTTTGAAGTATTTGAAATCAATTTAAGCTATATTTATTTTGAATATTTGCGCATATATTGCCATAAATGCATATTTTTGCATAGGTGGGTTATAACTGCATATTTTTTTTACATATCCGGCATATCGGTATTTGGCACGTCAAATTTTAATGTTTCAGAGCAGGCAAAAAGAAAAATTCTCCGAAAAAGAGCTACGGTCTCCCATTTTTCCGTTTCCACATAATGAACGAATNAAACTTCGTTCCTTCCCATCTTCGTCGTGAAGACTGCACTTGGGTCGCTTCTGATGAAGATGAAACCTTTCTTTTTTGCATCCTACTTGTTTGAGCAGCACCTTAACTTTTTTTAATGCGTTTTTCTTTTTTAATATTAGCAATGTGATGTTCCTCTTGCCACTGTTTCTCTTTCCAATTATGTGCTTTAATTTAATGTTTCCTTATTTTTTTCTCATGGCAGTTTTCGCATATTTTCAATATTAAATTGCAGTTTTTACCAAATATATTTACATATGTATGTGCATATTTGTCTGTTTTTATTGCATATAAATCACAGCCCTATTCATAACCCAGACAGCAAAGCTTGTTTGTTATAAATAAGGGGCTGTTTTTTTGTTTCTTCGAACCACCGGTTAACTTTGTTTGGCGCTAATTAATTGAAGATTCGAAGGTAGCGAAAAGTCGACTTGTTATTTCACAGGCCCATTTGGCGAAACAATACCAACTTAATTAGTTTTGCTGTTTCGTCTTGAACGGGAAGCCTTTTAAAAAGCGAAGAAACGTTTGATCTGAGAAGAGAAACGCCATAGCAAGCCATCATTGTAACGTAAGGGACTTGGGGGGGTCGGTAAGTAAAGGTTCCAAGAAGTTGCGAAGCCCTGTGACGCAACTGGCGACCATTGTTTCAGACAATTTGAAATTGACGCAAATATCGTTCGACTCGTTTTAATTATTTTTCCCCTGGCTCAAAGAACCCGATTGTGCCGATGTAATATTTATTTTGTTCGTTAGTGTCGAATTTCAGTTAAAATCATTAGTCGATTATTTTTAGAACACCTGTGCTTGATAATTCAATGCTATCCATTTTTTGACATCCTCTCAACAACTTTGTGCCTTTTGACTGAATGTCTGAGTCTCATCCAATGTAGTTTTTTTTTAGATTGAAATTATTTTACATACAAGATGATCTTGCTCATCAAGTCCGACTGCAACCTTTTTTTCAGTCTTGCCTAACCTTGGGTTATCTAACCAGAAAAAAATTATACTTGCGAAATTCTTCCTTTTTTTATACTGATATGATACATATTAATTTGATAGTGTATATACTCAGTATTTCTCCACACAGGCTTTAGGACATGTTCTCCTCACCCCGGTGATACAATCAAACCAGAAGCTTTCTTCAAAAGAAGTTAATGATGTGAAAAAAGCAGTTTTTTAAAATTAGCATAGCACCCTCTTTCTTCGATTGTTTTTCTAGTGATTAGGACTATATTGCCTGTCTATTACTTACAATTTTCTCCTTTGGGGTTAATAGGTCAAAGGTATTCAGTGACTACCTTGAAGGGGTGATGATATTCCCCATTGTGAGCATACTTCGGTAGTCCATGAACTTTGCTTCTAGCATCTTCTCTAAGCTAATATAAAGCAGACTGCTTGGTTGATCTTACCATTCTGTATGCATATGACATATTTCACATGACATCTTCAGTGAAAAAGAACCACTTTTGGTCTAAAAAGGTTATGAGTTGTGCCGGTTGATGAATCTGTTTAGCCATTTTGGTTCTTGGTATGCATGTCATTTTTGCTTTCTTGTTGGATTTTTGGTATAAATGTATAAAAAAGAATAAGGTATAGTACACAAAGCCATAGCTTAAGATGGCAAGATTGTGAAGCACATCTGATCGGCCAATGCCTAAAGATTAGTCAGGCCAGAATGGTTGGAAACAAACAAAACTTTTATTTTATATGAAATTTCTTCTTAAGATTTACAAGGTGGTAAACCTGTAGTTTGGTCGTTCATAGACTGTCGTTCTGAAAGTTGTGATTTATTGAGTTGTGGTCGTTGATGGATCTGTTGTTCGGCCATTTTTGTTCTTGGTATGCATATAATTTTGCTTTGGTTTTACGGATGCATTTTGCCCTTTTGCCTTCTTCAATTTGACTTTTTGTATAAATGTATAAAAGGGGCTTGACTAAATACAGACAGACCAACCACCTAAGACCACATAAACGACCAAAACTACCTGTATACTATATGAAATTGTTTATTGAGATCTATGAGGTACCAACATGTAGTTTGGTTGTTTCCAATCAAAGACTTCTTCCAATCTTACAGGAAAATAGAAGGAAAACAGCAAGGACAGAGCAAGATTATCGGAATCAAGCTATCTACATCTGCATATGACACTTCCTTCTTCCTTTCCGCAAGAAAGTTGGAAGAGCGCATTTGTTTGTTAGGACGCTATCTCGACCTGATTCTAGAATAAAATCATAGATGAAATTTGATTAAACATTTTCCTTTTAGTGTAGGAAGATAATTATTATTAATAGTAGTAGGGTAATTATTGAAAATGTAAGTTATATAAATTTATTGTAGTGCTTTTGAAGCTCTGACCTGCTTCTTCTTCAGTATCATGTGAGAGATTGGTTACAGATATGTTTCCTCTACATTGAGGAAATAAATTACAAGAGAAAAATAAGAGTGGTAATTTTCGTTTTATTTTCTTTTTACTGTAGGTATGTAAAAGCAAACTTTTTGCCAAATTATGAATGGAGTGTTCCTTAGTGCAATTTACCTCGACTTGGATTGTATACTAGACTCATTTAGCAATTAAATAATAAAAACAATTAATTCTTAAATCCATAGATAACCTGTCCAGTTAATTTATATATACGTATATATGTGATTATTTCCTTAATCTTTACAGATACTGGACCTTATATAAACACGAATTAATCAATTTTTTGGCCATGTCTTTTTAACATTTTAATAATAGTTTTTATAATTTTCATATTTTTCTAGAGGTGGAAGCGATGATGATACAGGCAATGACAATAAATCTTCGCGCACTGACGGGCATAAAAAGTAAGTCCTTCCCTAATGATATTAACCTTTATTAAATCGTTTATTTGCGATGAAATCAATTATATGACAACTAACTGCTGTTGACTGTTCATTATATACTTGAATTAATTTATTAAAATATAGTATGCTAGCATAAGTACTACAAGAAACTACATTTGCTTTTAAGGCATGTGCAAAACTATTATTATACTCCTTGCTCTCCTGGGTCCTCATCAATATCTTGTTCTAGGTGAGTGCAACCTCGAGAGTACAGCACATTAATAATTAAACATATTATGCACATTGTTTTTTTTTTTTTTCATTTTCTCAGTTATTATTCTATTATTTAATATTCTATTGCACATTAACACATTTTTTTCACATTACAATTTAAAAAATCTTAAGTGTAATTACTGTTTTTGAAAAGTATATACTAGATTGAATAATTTCTTTTTGCAAATAAGTAAAATGGAAATGAAACAGACTACTACCTTTTGTAAGCACTTCTCACTTAAGAAAATCGTGCTTTCATTTGCATATTTTCTTCGCTTCATGGAAAATCATGAATATGTACTCTAACCTGTTTCTAACCTAACCCACTTCCCTGTAATGTGAAATCAATGCCACAAAAATGATCTAGCAAAAAAATATTTGTATCCAGCACACAGACACATTCATTGAAATGCTAACTGAGGTAGATAATTTTTATTGGCATCAGATGTTTCATGTGAAAGTCACATACTTTGGTGTCGTTATTCTGTTGTCTGTTTGTCCGGTGTCAGAAATGTCCTACTGTCAACCAAAGTTATGCTGTGGGACTATTGTCATCTAGGTCATTTCAGCCCCAACCCTTGCAATTTTCAACTTAAACATATATTCACAAATGCTACATGTTTTTTACATACATAACATAACTTTGAGAGGAACTACAGGTGGACAAAGTTCTGGAGATGCCTGTCGACATCATAATCCCAAAATTCAGTGTTGCAAAGAAATTTAAAATTAAAATACCCGAGTAGACAGGGAGAAAAAAATACCAGTTAAAGCTGACTATATCTGGTATATAGATTTAAGCCCAGGGCCAGGAGTTGGTATCTATATCAATATGCCATGGTCTTTTTGGTAGAAACCATGGCTCAAGTACACAATACCATAAAAAGGCTAGGTTTTACCCCAAAAGAATAGCCAACTCACTCAGACAACCAGGCAGCACTACCTCATCGGTAGTAAAGTTCACACCCATTTGGGATTGCATCAAGTCCTTGGAAGACATTTCGTATGACAAAATTTCTTTACTTTGGGTACGTGAAAATAAGTGGCTGATAAATTGTCTAGGAAAGTTCAATGAGAACACCTGTCAGCTCTGAACTGTTTTGTGGCGTACCAAATCGCCAAAAACGTATAACTATCTGACAATGGGTTAAAAAGTAAGTCCTATCCTGAAGAAGTTCATCAATGGACTATCGCAGAAACTAACAGCTGAATTATTGCTGTTAGGTCCAGAATGATAGTAGATCTGCTGACATGTTTTTTTCAGTGCAATTCCTAATTCAACGGCGATCGCACAATAGATCAGTATTGTGATGTGCAAGGTCGTAAAGCGGCCAACTCCTTTTAACCTCAATTTCACCTTATACAACCATTCCAGTAGGACGTTTTTGTGCATATACCTCCATCATGTGATACAAAAACTATATACAATTACAAGCAAAGGTTGTTCGGTCAATATTCTTCCACGGACCCTATCCTTCTATTGATACTAATAAATAATTTCTTTCACGTAAAACATTTAACACGAACATTTTTTCCAAAAAATGTGCAACTGAGGATTCTGAGACTTAAATCAGTTAATATCGATGCATAACATCATACAATCAAACAGGACACAAAGAGCAAATTATCTTTACATACCGGACAAATACCAAATGGTTTTATTGCCAAGCTTTCTCCTCTTGCATCATGCAATTTTTCATTTATTTCAAATTGAACTGAAAGTAACTGATGAGACTCAATTTATATTTGAAATTGAACCAATAAATTATAATTTTTATGTATAGATTAAAGTTTTTATAGACTTGATGGTGGTGTATGTATAATCACTAAAATATCAGCATCAAACAAACATTTAACTCTATAACTAACTAAATTTATTATGTTTAGTGGTCTGATTGACCAAATTACTTCTTTCAATTAATTATTCTTAGTATATAAGGTCTTGGTTGAAATGAAAAAGCTAGTGTCATGAGTGGGATTTGAACCCACGACCTTTGGCTTCTATAACTAACCCAAATATCATGTTGAATCGGCACAGGGTCACTTACTGTGCCTGTCTCAACTCACAGTTTTTTAGTTATTAAAACGCGTTTCGACATTCAGATCCTCAGTGAAGAGGGCACAATGTTGAAATACGATTGAATAACTCAAAACCACACGAGCGGGACAGACCCAGTAAGTGACCCTCTGCTGGTTCAACATGAGTTCACCGACTCACAGACCAAAACCCATCATCAACCGTATTAATTTTTTTAATTAATTATACTTTTTATTTAAGGTCTTGGTTGAGATGAAAAAGGTAGTATCATGAGCGAGATTTGAACCAATGATTGTGAGGTTAACTTTTTATTTTATTTATTATTTAGTTTTATTAAACTAGTTAAGATAACTTTGTCATTTCAATCAAGACCTTAGATAAAAAGTATAATTAATCTATAACTAATTTTTAACTTTATTACCATATTAGACCATTCCACTTTAACCTATAACTACAAAATTGGTAGTTGATTATAAGTTTTTAAATAGATGCTTTAAATGCTTAAATTAAAAAATAATGAAATAAATAAAAATCAAATGTTAGATATGTATGCAAACTTGTTTTTGAAATTATTATTTTTTAAAATTATCGTTGTTATTGAAATAGAGAAACACTTCTTAAAACAAAGAATTAGTAGTTTTAAGTTAGTAGTTTCTCAACATAGCATATCGTGCAGTTTCCCATTAGAACAGAAAATATTTTGAAACTTTAAATAGACTCGAGTAATTATAAATATATTAAGAAACAATTTTTTTTTGGTCAAGGCAAAACCACAGTGAGATTGAAAAAAGAAGGAGGGATAAAATGAATACATATATCACAGAGTTGTCAGCTATGATTCCAATGTGTCATGCAGTTTCCCGTAAACTGGACAAATTAACAGTACTTAGAATGGCAGTACAGCATATGAAAACGATCAGGGGTGCCGTTCAATCTTACACCGATGGAAACTACAAACCTTCATTTCTTTCCGATTTACAACTGAAACAACTAATCAAACAGGTAACGAATATTTTGCAATTTTGAATTGTATTGTAACGTCTGGCATATTTTAGGCAGCGGAAGGTTTTCTATTTGTTGTCGGCTGTGACCGAGGAAGAATTCTTTACGTTTCTGAATCAGTGACACAGGCATTAAACTATTCACAAGTATGCTATTTATTGCATTATATAATAAATTGAATATTTTTATTGATAATTTTTGCTTTACAGGCTGATCTTTTAGGGCAGAATTGGTTCGACATCCTTCATCCAAAGGACGTCGCCAAAGTAAAAGAACAACTTTCTTCTTCACATCTCAGCCCTAGAGAAAGGTTTATTGATGCAAAAAGTATTTATTTTGTTGTTTCTTATCTGTACAGCCTTTACACAGTGATTTCAATTTTTTAAACTTTTATAGCGATGCTTCCCATGAAAACAGAAATTCCTCAACAGGGCTCTAGATTGAGCCCGGGGGCGAGGAGGTCGTTCTTTTGTAGAATGAAGTGCAAAACATCAGGCACACTGATAAAAGGAGGAGCCGACACAACAACCGATATCCATAGGCGAAAAAAGCAACCATGTCCCGGTATATAGAGCAATAATGTCAAACTTGAATAATTTTGCAATGCATTATTCAGAATATTTTATTAAAATAAACTATCAAAATTAGTAGATTAAATTCACTGTATTTTGTTTGTTGTTTCAATTTTGAAAATATTTTGAGTAGATCGCCTGCGTACAAACTCAGCGGTTGATGCTAGGTGTCGGTCTATAAGTCTGTGCTGAATCAGCATTGGGCTCTTCCTCACTCGTAGGTTTGTAGAACTAATCAAACATATTTTGGCCATACAGAATCTTCAATGTTCTTGTTGAACTGATATTTTCGTAGTGATAACTTTTGTTCATTTGTGAAGTCTATGCTCAATTTTTTTTAATAAAGTTCTACTGAAGATGGCACAATGTCAATACACATTTGAGTAGGTCAAGAAACGCACGAGTGAAGACAACAATGCAGCGTAAATTGACAGCATCTGAGCCAAATGTTAATTCCACTATTTGAGTATGTGGGTATTTATTTCAGACAAGAAGTACCGTGAAATTCAGTGTACAGGATACTTGAAACCTTGGGCCACGACGAAAATTGGCTTGGACGAGGACAAAGAAATGGACGCAGAGGGGGATGCGTGTAACTTGTCTTGTTTAGTCGCCATGGGAAGAGTCATAGCCATACCACTGCCGCCTTACATCCCGATGAAGCACTACCAGCATCCTTTGAACATAAGACCTCTCCAGTTCATCTCCCGTCATGCGATGGACGGTAAATTTCTGTTTGTCGATCAAAGGTGAGCTGTTTCTTAAATATTCAACAAGACCAATGAATAATGCAAAATGATTGATCCAGGGCGACTTTAGTATTAGGATTTCTACCCCAAGAGCTTCTCGGTTCCAGTATGTATGAATATTACCATAAAGACGACATCAATCATCTTGCAGACACGCATAAATTAGCATTGCAAAGTAAAGAACCCATTATGACAAAAGTGAGAATGTGTTTTTAAAATTTCACTTAAATATCTTCTTTAGTTTATTATCATATTCCATTGAGGACAAACAAGATAGATTTGATTCCAGGTGTACAAGTTTAGATGTAAAAACGGAGTTCACGTACACCTACAGAGTGAGTGGAAATCTTTCAGAAACCCTTGGACCAAAGAAGGCGAACACATGATAGCAAAAAATTCAAGAGTCATGTAAGCGCTTTAAAACATAATTATGTGGCTTGAATACATGATTTTTTTCTTTTGTCTGTCCAGTGTTGAAGGAGAACCTCAGGTAGAGAGCAGTATTTCAAATCTTGACGGGACCTGTCAGCCACCTTCAAACTATGACTTTTATAAAAACTCACCGAGTATGTTGACGCTCTAAAAAGTTAATTGAGATAGTTGCAATCATTAGCCAAAATAGTAATCTAACATTAGCAACATGATATCACTTAAGCATTGAAATTTTTATTATAAAAAAAAAAAAAAAATTTAAAGAAAAAGTATGAGGATAAATATAAGATTATGTGCAGGTAATGGAGAACTTAACGAGAGAGAAATGTCCAGGTATATAACATCACATGTTGAAGCGAGCAATATCGGAAGGAAAATTGCCGATGAAGTTTTAAATGAACAATGTAGGTCTTTGGACTCGTCTAACATTAGCACACCTTCGCCTGTACCTCCTCAAAACATTCCAGAGGTAATTAACATTATTTGTAAATAAATAAATAACGCAATTATTCTTAATTCTAGGTGCATACAACAAATGCCACCTCACCTAGTCACATGCTGCAAACTAATGGTTTTCTGAAATCCACACAAAAGAACTCTTGCTGTGGCGAAGATAATTATTCTGTAATTAGAAACAACGTAACCCTGTCCAGCATAGGCAGTGAAAGAGGTATACAATTCTAGGATAAAACAAAATATATGCTTAAAATTATGTTATTTATTAGGGGATGGAGATGAAATGATGGAAATGATAGGTGGTGCTGTCTCACAGCAAGCTGCTCCGACAGACGGCAATGATGAAGCTGCTATGGCTGTGATAATGAGTCTACTTGAAGCAGACGCTGGACTCGGCGGCCCGGTCGATTTCAACGGCCTACCTTGGCCACTTCCTTAGATTTTTAATTTATTTTGTATTTTTATACTTCTGTTTAGTTTTTGTTTTTTCAATCTTTTAAGTTTACAAACTATAACGGTGGGCATAGTTACACATTTGTTTATTTGTAAATTTTTTTTTGTAAGAATTCTTCAAATAAATTATTTTTAATATCAGCAACCCCTATTGTTTTGTAAATAATGTAACGACATATTGCAAGAAATTTATTCCTTTTGTATCTTTAAAATATTGTAAAAATCATACAATTAATTAAGGTTTTTAGTTGAGATAAAAAAGTCAATGGCATGAACGGGATTCGAACCCACGATCTTCGGCTTAATACGCCGCTGCTCTACCACTTGAGCTATCGTGACCTCGATCCACTCGGACATCAACTCCCCATCTCAACCCCACCTTTTGAATTTTCCCTCCTTTTGCCATTTTTCAAATGTCGTGTAATCGGTTTGGATTCTCGACGATGATTGAAATGGCGATGGAGAGTTTTAGTGAAGTGTACTTCAGTTAATTCATTAAATTCACTAATTTCGTGGTCCGCTTGACCAATTAATATCATACAATTAATTAAGGTTTTTAGTTGAGATAAAAAAGTCAATGGCATGAGCGGGATTTGAACCCACGATCTTCGGCTTGATACGCCGCTGCTCTACCACTTGAGCTCTACCTTGATCCACTCGGACATTCATTTGTCGCCGAGAATCAAATTGATTACACGGCATTTGGAAAATGGCAAAAAGGAGAGAAAATTCAAAGGGTGTGGTTGAGATGGGAGGTTGGAGTTCGAGTGGATCGAGGTCACGATAGCTCAAGTGGTAGAGTAGCGGCGTATCAAGCCGAAGATCGTGGGTTCGAATCCCGCTCGTGCCATTGACTTTTTTATCTCAACTAAAAACCTTAATTAATTGTATGATATTAATTGGTCAAGCAGACCACAAAATTAGTGAATTTAATATTGTAAAAAGTTCATCACTTTCAAAAATATACGTTTTTCTTTTTTATTGGTTGTTTCCTTTTTGTGATATTTAAATCATTAGTCAATTTTGAGACTTTATTTTTTTTTTTCAATTTTTCACTTTTAAGTTAAAATAATAAAAGCAATTCTTTCATCTTAACAGATGAAATTAAAAAGTTATTGTAATGGTTATATTTTTATCTTGCTCAAATTTCTATTTATTTCAGTTAAATTTGAATGCAATTTTTATAAATTATATAATTTGAAGGATGTTCCTAGTAAAAAAAAAAATTATTTAAAGACAGCATAAGTGCTCTAAACTTATGACCATAATAGCTAGAAATTCAGGTACATGTTACTTACCAAATTACTACTGAAAATATAATTATTTTAATTGAAAAATATTATTTTTAAGAACTGAAAATTATAAAATTACTTAGGTGGTACTAAAAAAAAGTTATGCATACCTACAAAACTTTAAAACAGGGCTTCAAAATGTTTAGCCTAGACATTAGGTAGGTTTCTCACTGAAGTTGGCACAAACAGAAATAAATTTTTCATCTAAAACCTGGCGAGAGTAAACAGATCCAGTAGAGTGATTAATAGCCGATTGGTATAACACAGACAAAAAAATATTTAAATAAAATAATAGTTGTTTCAAAATAGTTTTATTTTGTTTAAAAAAAATGGTCTTAACTTTTAAACAATATGTATATTGAATTATACATAAACTATGTAAAAAGCAAGTCATAGAGTAAAAGTTAAATAAACCACAAAAAGGTTTGTTATATCTATAACAACTTAAAATTTACATAACTATGTATATAACTTTGATTTACTTAAAAACAAAAAATAATATCTATTTCGTCCATACTAAAATGTACATATTTTTATCGTTAACGAGTCTTATTGTATCGTTTTTAATTTCAGCTGTAATCTGCAAAAGGACTTTGTAGATGATGAAAAAAACAACTTAAAATTTAATAAAATTGAAAACAGTTTGATTATAAAAATTACTTTTTTAATCAGTGTGTTGACTATGGACTTTTTGTTTTTTCTTTTTATGTTTTTTCTCAGTTAGCGCTTCTTCACCCAAAGAAGCTTGCGCTTGAGCGAGTAATTTACTTCTTACCTCATCAAGGGGTTGTAATTGTATCTCACTATTTTTGTCTTTGTGTTTTTTCTTTTTTTTATGTACATTTTCTTGAGCCAACTGGTCATTTTCTCCATCTGCGTTTGCTTGGACTTCCTGTTTTCTCTGATCAAGGCTAACCAATTGTTCTTTGAAGGAAGCTTTGGCCTCAGCTATGAGTTGAGACCTTATGTCATCTAAACAATTTTGACCTTTGTCATTTAATACATTGCCCTTTTGTTTTTTATGTTTTTCTTTTCGTTTTTCCATCGTTGAAACAACTGATTCTGAAACAAATTCTTTTTCAGCTTCTGAATGATCTGAAACAGTATTGCCTTGATTGAGCTTTTTCTTCATACTGTGTTCATTAACTGAAGCCTCAACTTCTGCAAGGAGTTTATCCTTTATTTCTGAAGGATCGGCTTTTTCAGTTTTCATCGAAACATTTTTTTTGCGTTTCTTTGTCTTTTCTACATCGGTATCCTGTTCACTAACTGAAGCTTTAGCTTCTGCTAGGAGCTTATTTTTAACTACTTGCAGATCAATGTCCTCTGCCTGTCCAGCGTTATTTTCTTTGTTAACCGTAGCTGCTGCTTCCCCTAGCAGCCTATTTTTTACTTCTTCTAAAGAAATTTTGGTTTCTTCCATTGATTTTTTTATTTTTTTCTTCTTCTGAGCATTTTCTTGTTTATCAACTGGAGCTTCTCCTGGAAACAAATTTTTTACTTGTACATTGTCATCCATTTCTGTTTGTTTTTTCTTTTTTTTCTTCTTCTCACCAGCATTATTTTCTTGTTCGCTAATAGTGGCTTTTGCTTCCCAAAGAAGTTTTTTTTTCACTTCTTCTACAGAAAGGCTCGTTTCAGTCATCCCTATTTCTTTATTCTTTTTCTTTTCATTATTTTCTTGCTCACTCCCTTCTTCTAGAAGCCTGGTTTCCACAACTCCCGAAACATTCATTTCTAGTTCACTCTTTTTTTTCTTTTTCTTCTTTTTCTCTTTATCACCGGCATTGTTTTCTTGTTCATTGACTGTGGCTTTACCTTCTAGAAGACTGGTTTCCACAGCTCCCGAAACATTCATTTCTGGTTCACTCTTTTTTTTCTTTTTCTTCTTTTTCTCTTTATCGCCGGCATTATTTTCTTGTTCACTGACTGTAGCTTTAACTTCTTCTAGAAGTTTGTTCTTTATATCTTCTAAAGAGGTGGCTGTTTCAATGTTTGATAAATTGTCCCTAGACTTTTTATGTTTCTTTTTTTTATTTCCTACATTGACACCTTCAACAAATGGAGTAGTATCTTCTATTAATTTATCACCCATTTCATTTATTGGCTGAGTTGATTCACTAACAGCTGCATTATATATTTCATTTTCACTAACTCTTTTATTTTTCTTCTTCTTAATAGAAACATTAAGTCCAGTTTCAGTCAGTTCGTTTTTATTATCAAATGAAGTTTGCAAATCAATTGCAGATAACTCATGTTTTTTGTGTTTCTTTTTCTTTTTACTTTTTGTATCTTCACCTAATTCAGCTGCTGAAAGTTCATTGTTAGTAGCGAATTTATTGTTTAAGTCTTCGAAATTTTTTATATCTTTAGCAAAAGATTCCTCCATTTCTGTTTTATCTTTATCATCCCTGTCCTTACTTGTGTTATGAAATTCTTTGGTTTTGATAATGTAATCAAGTTTTGTTTGCACTAAATGACTATGTTTCTTTTTCTTTTTTGGGGTTTTTTCAATAATTGAAGTTTCAAGCCCCTCAACATTTTGAAACTCTGTCACAGACGTTTCTTCTTTTTCGTGTTTCTTTTTTTTCTTTCTGGGACTGTGCGTAGATAAAGAGTCTAATTTGTCTTCATTAAAATTATTCTGTACGGTTAGAGGTAAAACAACATCGGATTCTTGATTTTCCAACGTAGGCTTGAGTGTATGTTTCTTTCTTCTTTTTGTGACATTTTCATCTTGATACGCTAGATCCGGTGGGAATTTATCTGCCATTGTACAAACTTTTTTAATTTTTTTGTTTACAAAAACATCTTCGTCACTATCGGACAATTTATGCTTTTGACTACACCTTGCGGGCAAAGCTAATTTTTTAGAATCTTCACCTTGACCAATTTTCTTAACTTTTGGGCAAATTTCATAGTCTATTTCTTGAACTCCACTATCTACACCTTCGTCTCTTTCAGCGCTTCTAAAAAAATATTCATTGTATCAAAATGTATCAAAGAATGTTAAAAAAAAAAAAAATATATAAATATACGAACTCTACGGAAATTAGCTCTCCCTTGATATACGGCAGACTAGAAGTAAAATCCAATTTGACTACATTAAAGGTAACTGTCTGTCCAAGACGAACATTATGCCCAAGCCATTTTTTCCCATCTTTTTGCGGAATAGCGACGTTAAATACAGAATGTACTAAACATCCTATTATGTCTCTAGATTTCTTATTCACTTGCCCTGAAATAACATATAAACATTAATAATTCCGAAACATTACCATATATTTAATTTTGTTGTTGTAAAGTAATAAACCTGTGAGTATACTGCCGACTGAAGGCTTAAAAATGTAAATATCAGCTTGATAGTCTATTTTAAATTTCCCTTCATCGTTAAAATGTACACAACTAATCAATTTGATGTTTTTGTGACTGAGAATAATCCCATCTAACCTGAAACATAAATAATATATTTTAATAAATAATAACACACAAACACACTCCTACATTATGTTAAATAATGTATCCGACATACGATATGGATCATTTATACATGCATAAAAAAATGAGAATTTTTTGAGCATCTTTAGCCTCAATTAGCTCTAAGAATAATCCACAAGAATATAATTTAAAAAATTATACAGCATTATCTTAAATTGTTTTTTTTCTTTCTTTCTCTCCAGAAAATAAGAAAACTTCTGAGCCTCAAGTATCCAAATGTGAAACCTGTGCAAACTTGTAAAAATAATAGAAGAGGAATGAAATCATCACAATACAGTTTTTAAATCCAAACCCACTCACACTCTCACTCATTTTTAAATAAAATTCTTAACTATTTACATATTGGGTTGTCCGGAAAATAATGCAGGATTTTAAGTTTTCATTTAAAAAAATCTATATAAAATATTCTGTTTACGTTTACAGGATTACTCATTTGTATGAATGTCAACACTTATTAATCCTCTTCCAAATGATATTGTTTGTTTACCTCTGTAGCATTCCGCTACTTGGAAATAATTCAGTCATCCTTATAATGTCAAAGCGAGAATTTCGTACGATTTTCTTTTACGAGTTTAAACTCGGCCGAAGCGGAGCCCAAACGGCTAGAAACATTAACCAAGTCTGGGGCGAGGGTTGTGTTAATGAGTGCACTGTGCAAAGGTGGTTTAAAAAATTTGGGGAGGGAGATTTCAGCCTTGAAGATGAAGAAGGTCGTGGAAGGCCTTCCTCTCTTAATGATGATGTTCTGCGATCAGTGGTGGAAGAAAACCCCAAAACAACTGTTCGAGAACTTGCAGAGCAACTCAAAGTCAGTAAAACGACCGTCGCTGACCACCTCAAGGCGATTGGAAAAGTGAAAAAACTCGAAAATTGGGTTCCACACTCATTAAACGATCGCCAAAAAAATCAGCGCTTTGATGTTTGTGCATCACTTCTTTGTCGAAACAAAAATGACCCATTTCTGGCCAGAATTGTTACATGTGACGAAAAGTGGATTCTCTACGATAACACTAGACGTTCTGGACAGTGGCTCGACAAAGGAGAAGCTCCAATACATTTTCCAAAGCCCCCAACTCATCAAAAAAATGTAATGGTTACGGTATGGTGGGCTTCATTTGGTTTAATACACTACAGCTTCTTAAATCCTGGCGAAACCATCAATGCTGAATCATACTGTAACCAAATTAATACCATGCATCAGAAATTGGCAGTAATGAAGCCCTCTTTGGTCAATCGGAAAGGGCCCATTTTGTTGCATGACAACGCTCGACCACATGTGTCACGTGTAACGTCACAAAAATTATTGGAGCTTGGCTATGAAACTTTGCCTCACCCACCCTACTCTCCGGACCTCTCGCCTACTGACTACCATTTTTTTAGACACCTGGACCACTACTTACAACACATAATATTCAAAAATCAAACGGAACTGGAAAATGCATTTATTGACTTTATCAATTCTAAAAATTCTGAATTCTACTCAGACGGAATTAATAAGTTACCAACACGTTGGGAGAAATGTATTGAGAGTATGGGAAATTATTTTGATTAAAGAACATTGCTTTAAAGTAACTAGTTTCTTTTTTTTTGTTTAATACCAAAATCCTGCATTATTTTCCGGACAACCCAATACAATTCACTCGAGTAGTGATTATTTAGAGATCTTGAGATGCAGTCTCATGATCTCTAAATAATCATTAATTAACAGTCACCAAAATCAAAAACATCACTCAAGTAGGTTGTTGGAGTACTCAATCGCCCAATCCCCTTTACACATTTACATAACTAAAGTAATTGAGGGTCGATGTGGTACTCAATATTCCATTGGCTCTCTCAGGCTACAAGTTTATGCTAATAAATACATTCAGTCTCAATATAAACAAAGAAGAAATTGAGACGAGATATCTATCAAGTACTGTACACAATAAAACAGACTTGATCCTGTATGTTATAGATAGTACAAATATTTGCTATGAATTTAAAATGATTTCTCCCTTTTCAATATTGTGATTTTAAAGTTTGGACCTTTGGTACAAATACAATTAGTTGTCCTTGTAAACGTTTTTTAAAATTTATTTAAATTATATCTTGACTTTTTTGTTCTCATCAAATTCACCAGTTATGCAGTTATTTCGGTATACCTTCAATTTGCTAAGTGAGTATATTTACAATGTGACAATTGCAATAATTCACTTGATATTTTTTAAACAAATGCTAATATAAATAAGTTAAAAAAAGAAAATAAAAAGTAATTTTTTAATGGTGACCATATTGATTTTGTGTAACCCCATAATAAGATGATGGTAGGAAAAAAATTGTCATTTTCACAATAGGCATTTATTAAGTCAGACGCGTTTTGATCTAATATAGACTATCTTCATCCTTTTTTTGTTTTAATTAATGAATTTATTTTTTATATATAAATAAAGTGGTTTGACGGTTTCTTACATTTTTATAAGTTCAGAAGTGGATGTCTGGTCTGGACAACTTCTTGACTTCTGTCCAGACATTCATTTCTGAACTTGTAAGAATGCAAAAACCGTCGTCCCATCACTTTATATTAAAAAAGTCACTGAAGATGATCATCTGAAGTATATTAGACTGAAACGTTTCTGACTTAATAAATGCCTATTGTGGAAAAGACATTTATTTCCTATCCATCATCTTAAAAAAAGTAGTATATGAGTCTGTCCAGATTACAAATAGACAAGTATAGTGATCAAAATGTTGATGTAACTTTTCGAGATGTTTATAAAGGCACATTACATTTAAAAGTTTTTTTTCCTCCAACAATAATTTATTAGTGACCATTAGTTAATGATTATTTGGAGATCGTGAGGTGTGGTCTGGATTCTGGTGTGACGTAGGTTTAGAAAAACATTTTCTTTATCGTGCCAATCTTTCGATCTTTATTGAGATCGTATTCAGCGCCTGGGATTTATAAACATTGTTTAAATTATACAAATACATGTCAGATGTGAAAAAATGGATTTATACAATGATAGAAATTTCAGACTCAAAGTATTTGTACTCACTGAAAGTGTTTTCTGTGTAATGCATCTTATGACCCCCAAAATAATCATTAATTAACAGTCATTAAACACCACACACACTAAAAAAACCTTGTACTAAAACAGAAATACGTTCTTCTGACCCAGTAGAGAAGGTGTAAAAGAAAAATCCCTCTGAATTTCAATAAATATATGCAATTTTGTTTGAAAGAAACTAGACAATAAATTGTGAAGATGCATCTTTGGTCGTTTTCGATCATTGTATGATCATTACATCAGATCGCATAACTCACAGTTTTGATCTGTCAGGCCTATTCTGACTTCTCTCCATCTTTGTTTTCCTTTAATGATTTTTACAAAAGTATTTATTTTTATATACTGAAAGTAAAAATTGTTTAAGTGCACAAATTTAAAATGAAATAAAACAAAATCTAGCATTAAGGTGTGAAAAATCATCCAGAGGTGGATTACGCCTCGCTTCCCAACGTCACAAGGCCAAAGCTTTAATCTCCTGGGAGGATTATCAGGGATAGTTCTGGATGTTAAGCTTAAAACTAAGATATTTGGGTATAATGAAAGAGATTAGTGGAAATTTATGTATTGCGATTTTATGACATGTTTCACAAAAGGAAGTGTAACGTCATTGTGGATTGGATATGTAAAAGGAAGCGTTTGCTACTTTTTGAGTGATTTCAGACAGAAAATTCAGATGCAATTTAAATCGGAAACCCACAGTTCAATGCCATATGTCCAAATGGGTTTATTATTGTTGAATACAAACTGGACATGGAACCAGTGCTGGTTCAACATCTAAGAGAGTTAATATTTTATTCCGTACGATTTATTTCACCAATTTTTCACTACTTGTGTGTGTTTGTTCATTTATTTTGATACAAAATATTTATATAGTTACAAATATTACTTATTGCTTTTCAATTAATTAAGGGTTTGGTTGAGATAATAAAGTCAGTATCACATGCGAGATTCGAACCCATGACCTTTGGCTAAATACGCCGCTGCTCTACCACTTGAGCTATCGTGACTTCGATCCCCTCAGACAGTAACTTCATTTTTTGTAAATTTATTTAGTCAAGCGGACCACGAAACCTAATAGATATAAAATAAAAATAAATAACTTATTACATTAATTGTGATGAAATAAGTAATTTTCAAAAATTAAGTTTGGGTGATGATATCTTATTTAGAGGTCATACAGAGCAAAAACGACTTCTTGAGCTGTGCCGAGCCTTCAGTGGGTTATTCCACATCATCAGAGCCTATTTACGGTACGATGGTGGAATAATCCACCAAAAGGTCGGCACAGCACAAAAAGTTGTTTTTGCACCGTATGACCTCTAAAGAAGATATCATCACCCAAACTTAATTTTGGTCAATAAATATCCAAAACAATAAAAAAAAATCCAATATATTTCGTGGTCCGATTGACCAAATAACTTCTTTCAATTACGTAATCTTATTATGTAAGGTATTTATTGAAATGAAAAAAGTTATGTCATGAGACGAGATTCGAACCCACGACATTCGCTCGTGACACTAACTTTTTCATTTCAACAAATACTTTACATAAAAAGTTTCACAAAAAAAGTTTATTTACTCATGATCTCCTAATAAACGAATGATACAAATGATTATCATTCATTGTTTTATCTATAAAATACTTAATAATAAAGACAAATCGGACCTTGCTTGATCTTGGTCTGAATTTTATGTATTAATTATAAACATTTCTTTTTAAGTGTTTTATTTTTAGAACCAAATCTATTTTTGGTTTGCAAAATATGAATAAACCTAAATACATTAAAATGAAGGATGGTTCATTTTGTCGGTGTAGATTAAGAATCTGTGTCTGTTCTATTTATAACTTTTCGCTATGATATCTATGCGATATTTTTCTGGAGTAGTGATTAAAGAAGGACATTAAATAGAAAACTGGAATTTTTGTTCTTACACACATAACCGAATCGGCTTTGAGCTGTTAACGCAAAAGATCGTTCTTTGGAGTCGGATCAAAATAAATTCAACCAACAAACAGAGCAATTGTACTTAATTGAAATGTGAGACTGTTGTTAGGTATGTACAACTTTTGTCGCACTTTTCTTCGTTGGCTGATGAAGCGGATAAGGCTCATCTTGAACCTAGGCGACACACAAGGTGAATCGGTACGGTCGCAGGGCAGTGTACGCAAACCTTGTGACTCTCAACCATAAAAAAACGTCCAATTTGGACACATTTTCAAACAAGAAAGGATGTGAGTACACCGAAGGACTGGAAGGCATGATGATTCAGCAGGCGGTATTTTTTTTTTACTCACTCTAAATCGTAGGTGGTAACCGTCGATTTCAGCATCTCCTTGATGGACACCTTAAAATTGGACAGGTGTATGGGAAGTAGCACCAAGCTCCTCTTGCATGATCTTTTGCAGTAGACACAGGAATTTTCCGTCGCTACGAGAGCCTCGAGGCAGGGTAGGCTGAAAGATACCTTTTCACTCATTTTAAAAATTAAAAACAAAAACACTTTTTCTTTTTAAATTCAACTCGTTCCGTCCATGAATTAAATCATCACTTTCGTCGCATTTCAAACCAGCATGGCAGACGCTGGATGTAACCTCCAACGGAATGGAGAGCCGTTTTGTTTACATGCTCCCTTCTCTCGTTCGTCTCATTTGCGACCTGCTCTCGATAACTTGCCACTTTCGATAATCGGCCCAAAAATCGACGGAAATATTTTTCTTTCCGTTGAAAAAGGCATCTGAAGAATTTGAAGATTATGAGGATGTCGTTTCATCATCTGGCATCAGACCGAGTTATCATTGGAAAAGCGATAATGGACAGCTGACCTGCTGCCTCCGTCGTCCCACAACATAGTGGATTAGTGGTTAGTAAAAAGTTCAACTTTTCCGTTAAACCGACAAAATATTAATTTTCTCGTTTTTTAAAACTCATTTGGGGTAAGAGACATTTTAAATTTCATCAAATACATAACTGGTCTTTATTATAAACCATTTTTATAAATGGAACTTTAAATGGTTACACTGTATCGTTCGTTCATCATGAGATCACGAGTAAATGAAAAAATTTTATTTTAATTTTTCTAGTTTTTTAGCTCAATAATTTTATATCAAAGTAAACAAACCTAAACAAGTAGAAAAACTCTAGTTACACGATTAATTATACATAAAATATTAACTCTGACACCTGTTCGATGGATGATTGTCTCCGGAGGTTTAAGATTAGTAAGTGACAAAGAGAAAAGTTGCGGCTTGGATTGGAACGTGATTAGAGATTTAAGTGAATTTTTATTGTGATATTTCCCGTTGTGGTTTCACGGTGATGAACCTGTAGTTTGCGTTAGCAGTATGCCTCGAGGGTCGCATATGCTGCAGCCTGTCTGCTTCATCAGCCAACGAAGAACATAAAATGGAGCAAAAGTACAAACTTAACAAGTCTCATATTTCAATGTCAAATATATGATTATTTTCATCTGAGACAAAGAACAGTCCTTCACACTGGTCAAGCCGATTCAGTTATGACAGGCAAAAAGTCACCCTTAATATTTTTAATTATCTGGTACAAACTTTTCATTGTTCAATCTGAAAACATATATGGGTTCTTCACATGTTGACTGAGAAGAATTTGTTGGACTACATTTCCATCTGCAATTCCATCTTGAAATTGTAAACAACCCATTTTTTTAAAAGATTGGTAACGGAATGAAAAGAGGGTTCTTCATAATAATGTTCAGAGAGGAAACTCCGTAGTCCCACTGCTAACTTCAAAAGCCGGATTGCATCCCAAGATGGTATTGTTGTGCATTCATTGTGGTTGGACTTTATTATGAGCTTCTTCCGCCCAACAAAACCATTAATTTCTCATGGACACTACCCCCTAATGATTAAAGTCAGCAAATGACCAAAAAAGTTCAACGTTAGCTAATTTTAAGGGGATTTCAGATGTGACAGAAATTGTTGGAGCTTGCCGTGATGCCTCTTTAGATTTTCAATTATTCCGGGCTCTACAAAACTATTAATGGAAATAACTTTGCAGAAAACACACAGAGTAGTTCATCACTCAAAAACCTGAGAAGCTCTGGGAGGGCAGAGTTACAAAATTACATGTGTCATTGATCTAATTTGTTTACCTGAAATTTTCATTGAATTAACCATTGAAAAATGCAACGAACTTATTTTAGGAACTTATCACTCCACTGACCCCAAGAAAAAACAAATGCACTAACACTTGGTGGTACACTGGATAATAGAGGGACAGAAATATAGCGAAATATTTGCATTTGATATAAAATATTCTTTTTTTATAAATATGACGAAGAGATTTTCATGTAACTATTTTCTCGATGTCTTAGATTTATTTGGGCTTTTTCAAATTTACGTTCAAATTTAGCCAGAACTGAAAATTGAGAAAATTTACCAGAAATGTATACAGGTTGTTTGGCTACTTTGCCAGTAGATTCTATATTTAAAATGGAACCAAAAAGTTAGTTCCCCCTAATTAACTATGGCCCAAATCTCAACAGTTTCTGAGTTATTCCTCTTTTTCTGATTTTTAAAATTTCACGACCTTGCTTCAAATAACTAATGATAACTCCAAAATTAAAAAGTTTTGGACAAATCCGTTGGTATCATTGAAAACTATGTTAAATTTCCAATAAGATGTGATCAATACTAAACGTGCAAACATGGGTGAAATAAGCAAATTTTTTTTTGAAAGTTGAAAAACCTACTACGGTGATTCTAAACTACTATTCCCAAACCTGAAGGCTAGCAAATTTCAAAAAATGTACTCCATTTAATTTCCTTTCGAGTGGTGTAATTGATTGATTAATTATTTTTTTCAAAGATAAAGAAATTGAAAATATAAAAAACTTAAGGAAATTTTGAATGAATGAACTAAAAACGTTTAGGGGCATAAAACTCTTTTATTCTGGGAATAATAATGCAATAATCCTTTAATCAAAGTTGCAGTCTTGTTGGTAAATAAGTAAACACTTGCACTATTTCGGTTTGGAACCCAAATTTAAAAACGTAAACTAAATTCATTCAAAATTTTCTTAAGTTTTCTTTTATTTTTATTATTATTAATCTTTCCACCTTACCAATCTGTCAATCACAGTTTTTCCTTTCCTTCATCAAGTTCTTCATCTTTGAAAAAATAATTAAAAAAGCAATTACGCCACTAAAATTTATATTAAATGGAGTTCGTTTTCTGAAATTTGCTGGTTTCTAGGTTTGGAAATAGTAATATAGAATCCTAGTAAGTTTTTCACANAATAACTCCGAAACTGTTGAGATTCAGACCATAGTTAATTAGGACTTTTTGGTTCTTTTTGGACAAATCTGTTGATACCATTTAAAACTACGTTAAATTTCCAATAAGATGTAATCAGTACTAAACTTGCAAACGTTGATGAAATAAGCGTTTAAATTTTTTTTCAAAGTTGAAAAACTGGTGAAAAAGAACTATTTTTAAAAGTTGATAAACTTACTGAACTAAACTACTATTTTCAAACCTAGCGACTAGCAAATTTCAGCAACGTACTCCATTTAATATCCTTTTTAGTGGTGTAATTACTTTTTTAATTACTTTTTCAAAGATGAAGAAATTAATGGAGGAAAGGAAACAACCGTGGCTGGCGGATTGGTAAGGTGGCAAATTAAAAAAAAATTAATGAATTTATTAAAAGCAATTGCATCACTGAAAAGGATATTAAATGGAGTATGTTTTTCCTTTCCTCCATTAAGTTCTTCATCTTCCCTGTTTTGGACAAATCCGTTAATACCATTGAATAGTAGTGAGAACTTTGAAAAACTTACTATAGTGATTCTAAACTACTATCTCCAAACCTAGAGAAAAGCAAATTACGGAAAACGTACTCCATTTAATATCCTTTTTAATTTTTTTTCAAAAATAAAGAAATTGGAGGAAAGGATAAACATATCCCTTTAATATCTTTTTCAGTGGTGCAATTGCTTTTAATAAATTCATTCAAAATTTCCATTCAAAGTTTTTTTTTTTTAATTTGCCACCTTACCAATCCGTCAGGCATCTTTGAAAAATGTAATTAAAAAAGAAATTGCACCACTAAAAAGGATATTAAATGGAGTACGTTTTCTGTAATGGTAAAAAGTTTTTTTTTCCTCAATGTTCTTGCTACTAAAACACACATTTCACGAACACGAACACATTTTACAAGTTTAGTATTTATCACATCTTATTGAAAATTTGACGTAGTTTTTAATGGTATTAATGGACTGGTCCCAAACCTTTTACTTTTTGAATTGAACATCGTTTATATGAAGCAAGGTCGTGAAATCTTAAAAAATATGAAAAAGATGAATAACTCCGAAACTGTTGAGATTCAGACCATAGTTAATTAGGACTTTTTGGTTCCTTTTTGAATGTAGAATCTACTGGCAAATTTTGAACAGGAATAGCCAATACCTTGTTTAATGTAGACTTACAATTCTGGAATTGTGTCCTGTAAAATTATAACATTTATTTTTTTCTTTACATTATTACTTTATTGTGTTGTTCATATATGCGTTGACTTTCAGAAATATGTCCAGTCACGTTGGCCCACCTAGACTACTAAACCATTCTTGCAAAGCTGTCATCGAGAATGAAAATGAGTGTTATTGTTCGGTAGATTTGGAGGTAAGAAAACGCATGTGGTAAACATGACAAATTGGTTAATTAAACACGCACATTTTAATTAAAATTAATATATGTTTGATTTTTAGATAGAAGAAAAAAAGAATACAACTAATACATTGACGAGAACGCTGCATTTGAAGTTACAACCTTCGACTTTGGATGCTCTCTTGGGAAGTCTTGGAAAGATAAAACAACAACTTGCATGTTTTACAGACAGACGATAAAATTTATGATTGGGATTCAATTGGAAAAGGAGTTTTCCTTTTCCTAGTATATGGCTTCAGGAGACAATTTTCCAAGAACACCATCACCTTTCGTCAGCAGAAGGCCAGCATGCCTTCCCAAGGATCCGAGGACGAGGCGATTGCGATTTTCCGAGTCATATTTGAAGGAGGTTGAGAAAATAAATGAAGAATATTATAGCACTTGGACTGGGAACGATTTTTGCCAGGATAACGCACAAAATGATTTGAACGAGAGTGGTAAATTTATAAAACCTTTTCATCCTTTGAGGAAGTGTTTCGATCCTGATGCAACTTTTTGTAAATTTAGGGAAAATACATTGTGGTTTTCCCCAAACTCTTTTCTTTTTAAAATAAGTCGTTGTGATTTTTACAGTCGTGTTATATCAGATGAATTGGCTATAGAGGAAAATACAGAAGAAGCTAAACTTATATTTTTGTTGTGCAGTGTCGTGAAAGACAGTGATTTGTGTTACGGTTTATTCAACACTGTTAGAAATTTCATCTTGCCTTTCAAAGTATTTAAGAAGATAATAAAAAACTGGGGATTCAGGAAGTTTGAACAGGTGAACTGGAAGCCTAATGACCGATACTGTAATATAGAATTGTCAAAAACCAACTTATGCTATGTTCTGAAATTGTTAACACATTCTGTCGAAAGTTATAACTTTGATTGTTTATACCGTACTGTTTACTATTTAACTTGTCTGACTTTTGATCCGATGTGTGTTGGATTATCCCAAGAACTTATTGCACCGTTAACGTTGTCAGTTAAAATTTTAAAAGAAGAGTTTTCGGTGGACGATGCCGATTTGTTGGAGAAGTTAGAATTGGGTGACACTCCGATTGCTGCAGCTCTTATTTACGCTTCTCTCTTAGCCACGGACAGGAGTTTATATCCGATAGCATGTAAATGTGCGGTGGCATCTTTCTGTCAATTATTTAAATTCAAATGCCAATTGAAAAGAAATAATGTGTCTGTAAAATTATTGTTAAAATTATTAACGGATGCGGAAAATTTATTTTTACAAATGGATATAAAAGACATCTGTGATTCTTTAGCCTTGTTAAGTTTTGTTATGGTAAGATTAAAGATAGAAAAAAAATCAAAAATTATTATTAAAAAGATCATAGCCCTCCTATCGAGGATCAAGGCCAAGCTTAGTAGTCATCCAGCGTATTCGGTATTTTTGGAGACGGGCAATAGATTTAGTTCTGTCTGCTTATTCAAAATCAGTCCATTCTTAAATAATGAAGAGCATATCTCTCCTTCACTGTACTTTGTTTAAATTTTGGATTTTATATCATCTTTGTTGAAATTGAATTTAATAAAGTAATGCTGTATAATTGTACTTTTGTTAATATCAAATGTGCTCCCACCTTCCTTCTTCGCGTAGGTTGTAAATGTATAAATGAATTTGAACTAACTTTTTAACTTTTTGAAAACTTTTTCGATTCAGGCCTTCCAAGGTCCACCCATTAACAAAGCTTTTGATACGTAGGAACTTCTCTGCCAATCTCTTCTATTAATTGTTTAGCCATGGACTTTTAATTACATTACATCAGAGGGTCATTTGTGGTGGTTAAGTACAGAGGTTCGGCAGTCCCGGTCAAAACCATGACCAAATGACAATAAATATATAAATATTGAGGAAGCTCAGTGGCTGAGCGGTTAGTGCGTCTGACTCTTATTGCCATGCTAGGGGTTCTGGGTTCGAATCTTGGCTCAGTTCATTGTCTGCAACACCAAACATTTAGATGGGCTTTAAGTCCTCTTTTTTTAAAATTATTATTATTATTTTTTTGTTTTTATTTTTTTATTTTTAAAACCAGGGTTCTCAACACCAGAGGTTATATTAACCCTCGGGGTGCTGGTGTTATTGAAAAAAGCCCATTTGTAAGTTTGTCGGGTTTGAATGCAGGGCCGCTGGATAGGAACCTGGGACCTTTACCTTACAGTGATGAGCGCCGTGTCACCGCCTAAACTGTTGTGGCCACCGACACCCTATATATATAAATATTGTTGTTCACACACAATAGAATATTCGATATTCTTCAGAGCAATTGGGGGTAAGCCCTTCATTCAGGCTAATAAATTACATTTGCAATACACCAGAGTACTTAAAATTCCTCGATGTATTTGGCGATAAACCATCTCCATTCATGCTAATAAATTCCTTTCGCAATCCAGAGTACTTGAAATTCCTTGGTGTATTTGGCGATAAACCATCTCCATTCATGCTAATAAATTCCTTTGCAATACACCAGAGTACTCAAAATTCCTCGGTGTATTTGGCGATAAAGCATTCATGCTAATAACTTACATTCACACTACCCCAGGGTACTCGATATTCCTAAGGGTAATTATTTTTAAGACCCTCCATTCACACTGATAAATTACTAATTATTCAGAAATCGTGAGATGCGGTCTGGTGTGATAGGTTTCAGAAAAACATTTTCTTTATCGTGCCTTTTTATTCTTTATTGGCACAATAAAGAAAATGTTTTTCTGAAACCTATCACACCAGACCGCATCCACGATTTCTGAATAATTATTGATTAACGGTCACTAATCACCACACACTAATAAATTACATTCACACTACCCAGGGTACTCGATATTCCTAAGGGTAATTATTTTTAAGACCCTCCATTCACACTAATAAATTACATTCACACTACCCCAGGGTATTTAATATTCCTAAGGGTAATTAGGAATAAGGCCCCCCATTTGCACTAATAAATACGTGTTACTATAAGAAAGACATATCACAGATACCAGAGGTACAAAGATCTATGTACAGTTTAAAATATGTCCATGTACATTCGATGTATGTTTGCTGTAGTAACACAAGGCTTTGCATAGCCCCTGCTTCTTTGTTTGCAGTCTGGTGCTACTTGCTCTGCTGAGATAATTCCGCATGGAATTACCCTCATACGGTTTCCATGAGTAATCTTGGTATGACCTATGCTTCTCCTGGTAAGTATGACCTCTTCCCTTCTAGACCCAGCTAATTTCGATGCATTTTTTCTTTTTAAATAATTTAGACTTTTTTTCAATTATTTATAAATAAACATTTTCATATGAAATTGGAAAGCGCTGTATTATTAAATTCTTAGAACCTTTAATTCCAATTTTTAAAAATTGTGTAAGTGTATTTTTTGGGTTTGTTTCAGTTTTGTTGATAATTGTCATTAAATAAACAATTTATAGGTTTTAAAAAGCCAGTAAAATAATTCATGCTTTGAATGTTTTCCAAGCTGTTTAGTCTCGGCCGATTAAAAAATATTTTTGAATGCAAATTTTAAAAAAATTTACCATAAACTAGTGGTAAATATAATAGCAAAATTGTAAAATTGGTGCCGTTGGGATATTTGTACTAAAAAAAAGTAAAAATAAAAATCAATAAATTTTAGAAGACTGTCAAATTTTTATCGACATCTTCATCAATTCACTTTATACGAATGCGTTTTGTTTCAAGTGAGACAATTTAGAAGAGAACAGTGGTCCGTTTCATTTCACCGGATTGAATCGTATTTGTAAACTTTATTGAAAATTAAAAAGTCCCAATCACGTGTTCGAAGTTTGAAACAATAGGAATTTTTTTGTAATGATTTAAAAAAACCCTATGAATTGTGTTTCTGTATGAATTAGGATCACTGTTGTTTAATCGGTTACTTATTTGTACAATTCATTATTTTTAAATTTTAAGTATAACACGTTTAACAAAATTTGTTCACCTTTGATATAAATTGTCTAATGTAATCTGTGATTAAATAAAACTTCTTTTCTCTAGTAAATTAGCATTTGGTTATTTTAGAAAGTAAAAAGAATTTTTTAAAAATCATACGACATGAATTGAATATAATTTATACATTAAAATTGTATAAATTATAGTGTTTAATTTTTATAAATATTTTTGTTCGACTTTCTACGAGAGAATGAGTGTCAAGGGATGAAAAAATTCACTATACTTGACTCAACTGTTCTCTTCATATTTCAATGGTCAACAATGAACATAGTCAGGTGTAAAACAAACAATGGTGTCATATTTACATTGTTGTATATACAGTACAAGAGGCTGTAAATATATTTCTCTTAAATGTTTTTTTTTCTTTTTTGCAAAATTATCACTGTTTAAACTTTAATAATGATTAACGTTTAGTAATACCATTTAATTGACTTAATTGTAATATAAATAAATATTGCACAATCTAAATATACAAAAATATGAAGGTTATTAGGTCATATGTTTAAGAAATTGGTGATGTTAATAAATTTGTTAATCACGTAAAAAATAAGCGATAATCATGGTCCCCAGCTCTACTGGAAACTTACGCTATCATATTTAAATATTATTACTTTTTTGCGTTATAACATCAATTTTAAAAATGTACGGGTAGGATAATAGAAAAATTTACCTCAGCAAAGCCAATAATTATTGACATCACCAATACATATTGAATTGGTAAACATAAACAATCAGAAATACAATGTGAAAAGTCAATGTCAATCAGCTTTTTTTATTTAACAAGAAAAAATCAAATGTTTTAAAATAATATTTATAATATTCAACAAATGGTAATTTATATTACAATATTATGGTACTATACATACTAAAACAATTTTTTATTGGCTTACATAATATAGGTGTCTTAAGAACCAATTTTGTACAATTCTTGGCAGCCAGATTTAAAATTTAACTAGATATATTTCACATTCTTTTTTTTTATTGCTCTGACTTCACACAACCAATCTAATAGGTAACTTACGTTTGTATTGTCTAGTTTTTTTTTTTGACATTAAAAATTTCTCTAGGGTGAGCGGCAACAATAACAATTAAAGAAAAGATATGCGTTTGATTAAATTAAAACCATTATTCATTCAATAAATAATATATGTGTATTATTTGTACACACATAAAAAAATTTATCGAATAAAGATTATTTAGACGTTGGAAGATACAAAGAATCAAATTGATATGTTCTAATCCAGAAGCCAGATAACATGCAATGAGTTTAAATAGTCACATTATATTTTTTTTTTAAATATCTAAACAAGTTTAGAACAACCTATACAGTTAACATTTTATAATTGAGAGAAAAACGATACATTTTTTAAATACATTTAATACATTGCACAAATATTCGTCTATTCAATAAACACCGATATGTTCCTATGTCACGATTTATTCATGTTGTACATTTCTATCAACTGAACATACATAGCATACAAATATTAGATGGAAGTTTGTTTTACATTGACAAACGTAAATTATTAATTGGCAAGCGTTTTATTTATTTATTTTTTTTTCGTGCAATATTTATTGCAATGACATTAATTAGATTTAAAACTGGACTTAAATTACAGAAAACGGATTGCCGCCCATCCTTAAAACACAATATACGATTTCGGTCTAAATTACATCACGACAAAGAAATATTGATGCCTCTTGTTGGTACCGAACAATGTAACTTGACAAACCCAGTTCCCTATCATTCAAATGTAGAATGGATCGGTTTGAACAATTTAAATATATAAGTACGTCCTTTTGTAGTTTTATGTAAAATGGAAAAACTTAAATAATTAAATATACTAAAGCCGTAGCATATAATATTCTGTAAGCCATACTATTCTGACTTCTACAAAATAATCATACCTTTTTTTTTACAATAGCCTATAAACACATTTTCTCTGTTAAAAAACACAATTTTATATACATAACAATCTAGGAATGTTTGCATAATTATATAATAATTATTAATGTTTATATAAATAAGAACGTCTACTGGTAACTCGTGATGTAAACACTTCTAATGTATATCTGTTTGAAGCATAGGACGAATGGAGGAGAATGCCGTATCATTTGCCATCGCCCCTATAGTTTTACTATAGAAAATGAGGTTATATTATATATTTAATTCTATTGTATTTAATTAGTTAATGATGTGGTAATGTCCTTATCAAGAAAGAGTAACCCCTACTGAATATTTTCCCATTTTTTAATCTTTTTTTTTTTCGGTATTCAACTATTGCTATTTTCAGAACTATAATGCAGAAATATTCTAGAATGCCAGTTATATGAAATTAGAGAATTATCATAATGCTATCTTACGAACGTTTTTAATTATTTTTTTTTATTTTAATGAAAATCTAAGCATATAAAATAAGGAGTTTAAAAATCACTTCTTCAAATACAGCACACTGCATACACCTTACAAAAGAACATTACTTTCATTTTAATTCCTAATTTTTATCAAAGCTCAATTACATATAAAAATTCAAGTAGCATATACAATTCTATTGTTATATGAACTTAACGGTACATGCCGCGGTATTTCCTATGTCAAATTCACATTGCAAAATTTGTCTGGGATAGGTATCAACAAACCTACGATTCATGTGCACGTTACTTAATGTAATTCTGAGGAAGACCATAGTGCAATGCAATGTGTTATATTTATATACTATAATCATTTTATGTATATATTTATATATGAGTTAGAGATACTCTCAAATGACTAAAGAACTATCACCACATCTCCCGGTGAGCCCTTGTTTTTAACTATGCGTAAAAGCTATTTAAATTCTACAATTCTTAAAACATTTCTTGTTTTTAAGCTTTCGCACAGCCCAAATATAAATACAAGCACTTAAAACAGTGCTCAAAATATAGGTTCTTGTAATAATATTTACTTATATTTTTAATTTTTTTTTTTACAATAAGACATTTATTCAATGATAATAATTGATATCCAGGATATAAATAATTTATGTATCGGCTAAATTTGTTCTGCGGTGTACAGAGTGATGAATGAGCTGGCTTATGACATTCGTACATCATCGGTGAGAAAGTACATTACTGACATACATTGGACGACTGATTGTTGTAATAGATTTTTAAAAATAAAAACGAGGATGATATAAAAAGATCAGGCTCATGCATACGTTGGCAGGAATTTGGTCTTATCTCTCACACGTGGAATGGGAAAACTCCGACAAGCAATCGATTATATCAACTCCTTATGAAAAAAATAAAACCAGGCTATAAGGACTGTTATACAGATTTTTTTTCTATTTTTTTATTACTTTTTATATAAATTTTATTTATATTTTTAACAATAATTATCATACATCAATAATTCGACTTTAACACTACTGGCCTTCTTCCATATTGATTTTTTGTCATGAAAGGATGATTTCACCGTCTTTGGTTTTATTTTTAATTTTTTGGAAACTTTTATACAATCTGATTGTAATGAATTTTCACATCCCTTTTCTTTTAACATGCAACATGAGAATAACTGACGAACAAGGGTTCAGTCAAATTGAAGGCCCCTAATAAAAATATTTGAAGCCAGTTTTAATATTTTTAAATATATATTTATTTAATTTATAAAAGGCATGGGTTGCGGAGCAAAGCACTTTAGAATGTTTGGATGGTGTGCAGACACCAACCCTTTTGTATATTATTATTACTATTTATTATTATCATTAAAAAAATTATGATTTCTAGGCATTTTTTTTTCTAAGGTAAAAAAACCCTCGTTCTGATCGCTAGACGCATGTTAATAGTAGTTAATAAGTAAAAAGAGTAAAAAATAGTGCTTAATTGCATGAGAACGATAAAATGGAATATCTATTTATTAAAAAGTGTTAGTGCTATTAATAAAAATTAAAAAATATTCAATTATTCTAATTGAGCGCAGATTTCAAATAATATTTCGTAGTTAATAGTAAGTAATCGAATAACAGTCCTTATATATTTATATAAATATTTATCTCTATATTAATAACCTGTATTACCTATGGACCAAGTGTTTTGGAGAGTAACATTAGTATAAAAATTGTAATATTTTTTGTTTTTCATTTTTTTTTTAGATTTAAAGAATAACAATAATAAAGATAATACTTATTAAGTTATTTACAGTATCAATTTCTTCATTTTGCAAATTCAATAGGAAAATCTGTTTATACTCCCTGACTTAATAAATGACTATTTCTAGTGATTTCAGAAAAAGTTATCTGTTCTAGGTAAAGAATGTTTTTATATAATATTATTCTATTCTCCTATCTGAAGAAGCATTCCACCACAAATCCATGACAATTATACAACTAAACAATCGGTTACTTTCTCTCTCTCTTTCTTTTTTCTAGGATAAACGATAAAGGACGCACGAAAAATTCAACAGAGTACGATTTGTAATGAGAACTGTATTTTATGCACATTATTATTATTATTATTATCGGTATTGTTATATTCGCTTTGCCCCTTTTTGCATTTTATGTTTTGTTCGTGAGACATGGAATTCTGGTGGCCTCCTAAAGACAATTAGGAGTTTTATGGCAGTCTAAAAGCCAAAGGGTCTCTATGCTGATCATTATTATAGTAGTAATTATCTCAAACTACTGATTGTTATATCTCACGGCTAATTATACGCCTGTGATGAATAGTTTAATAATAATAATGATAATAGTAATTATATTGCATTAATAACTTTTCTTGAATTCTTAAGAGTTAGCTACACTGTTATTTAAATACTCTAATAGCCTGCATAGGAGTTTTATTCATGTGTGATGGTATCCTTTAAAATTCTTTTCACGGGAAAGCAGATATAATTATCTAGTAACAGATTTACTTTAAGTTAAGAAAGTAGATAAAAGAAGAAGATGAATGAAAGCTTATTTAGGTTTACACTTTGTTACTCCCATAAACTCTGATTTGGAATTATCTTCCAATGCGGTAAGTACGAGTTATTAGAATTATAAATCCCTAAATCTAACTCACATACACACACATCACCCTTATATCACGTTTATAACTGGATCCATTTTTTTTTCTCTTATTATTTTTGGTAAAATATAAAAATAGTGGGGTTGGTTTGTTCTGATGCTTTAAGATCCAATTTACCCTTAATTTGAGGCAGAACTTCTATCAGATCAAAATATAATTCAAGTGACCGTCGTGGATGTTTCACTTGGTATGTAACTTGCAGACTGGCAGTTATGTTCGGCAAAGTGTGAACCTAGACAAGTTTCCAAAAGACACGTGACTTGGTAAGAGTGTTTCGGGTTAACGCCCACCAAGCAACACTCATTCACCGCACACATGGTACACCTAATCTTAATTTTAATAATTTTTATAAAATTCAAAGTCTATTTATAAAAAAAACGGTCATTTTTTGGCAAGACCAATTAATAAATATTACGATTATTGAGTTATACGGATAGTACGCAATTATTATTTTTTATTTTATTATTAATAAAAGTCAGTCGTTTTGAGTTGTAATTGATGTGCTGAGGATGGTCTTTGATGATCACACACACTAACACATGAAGAAGTCTGAAAGCACCATTATATGTGGGTCACAGCATGACAGCAATTGATGACATACTGCTCTCTGATTGTGACGACGACCACAGCGCTAGGCCTGCCTCATGCACTGCAAAACAAAATTATAATTATTAAATACTGCTTATAAATATGCATAGGTGTACATAATAGTAAAAGTGATGTTCCACGGTACAAAAGAAAATGGCATGGTGGATATACTGCTAGCAGTTACTGCACCGACAGATGCCATTGAATTATCAATATAATTGATTCTTCGAAACTTTCAAAATAATTTATAAAGAATTTATAACAAAAAGCTAGAGTTTCTACCAAAAAAAGTAAAATTAACCTATCATAATATTGAAAAACAATCATTAACAGTCGTTCACAATTATGTCTTAAACACAAACTGCCCATAAATTAAATTGTGAGAATGTTCATATTTCCCTTTGATGATAATTCTTTGGATATGTTATACAAAGTACACGTTAAATTTTGAAAGTTAGAGAACTTTTTATGGAATGGCATTCGACCAAATATGGACTCTTGATAGAATAATGAGCATGGCCAATAAATCCGCTCAATTGAATTTTTTTCTCATAATTTAATAATTTCATAGAACGACTGTACTTTTGATTATTACCTTCTGTCCCAAGTATGTCTGTCACTCATTTTCTCTGTATCCCTCTCTCTCCCTTTCCCTCTATATTTCTCTATCTTGCTCTCTTTTGCACTCTCACTCTCTCTCTCTCTTTCTTTCTCTCTGTCTCACTCCCTTTCCCTCTCTATTCCTCTATCTCTCTCTTTCGTTCTCTCTCTTTCTCTCTGTCTCAATCCCTTTCCCTTTCTATTCCTCTATCTCTATCTTTTGCTCGTTTATCAAATCAAAACACAATCTCTCTATCCCTCCCTCTTCTTTACATGTTAAATATGGCCCAAGAAGCCTAACTTTGGTGGTGGAATAAAACGTTATCAATCTCTCTCTCTCTCTCTCTCTCTCTCTCTCTCTCTCTCTTCTCTTTTTCTCTATTCCTCTATCTCTCTCATTCGTTCTCTCTCTTGCTCTCTGTCTCACTCCCTTTCCCTTTCTATTCCTCTATCTCTCTCATTCGTTCTCTCTCTTGCTCTCTGTCTCACTCCCTTTCCCACTCTATTCCTCTATCTCTCTCTTTTCCTCTCTCTCTATCCCTCCCCCTTTTTTACATGTTAAATGGCAGAGAAGTCCAAGGGGTCTAACTTTAGGTGGTGATAAAACATTATTAATCTCTCTCCCTCACTCCCTTTCTATTTCTCTATCTCTCTCTTTAGTTCTCCTTCTTTCTCTCTGGCTCACTCCCTTTCCCCTCTCTATTACTCTATCTCTCTCTTTCGCTCTCTCTCTTTTTCTACTTAATCCTCTCTTCCTCTCCTTAATAGACTTTTTACAGTTTTTAGTGAGGTGATGAAAATTTAACTTTATGTGCATATAATCTATAACATTGTTAGTAAATTTTGTAATTATATAATTTTATTTCTTTAGTGATTTGTTATAGTTAAATTAATGTAAATTTTTATTTAGTTATTATTACTATGCCATATTCAGCTTAAATTTTCTATTTTTTTATATATTTTTTTAAAATTATTACATATGAACATCTTGAAGCGCATGTATGTAAGTTCAAATTTTAAAATGTTCATCTAGTTGAGTGTAAAAGGTCAAATTGATCTAACTCTGTGAGATTTGTAAATATAAATCGTTTATCAAATCAAAATCTCTCTATCCCTCCCTCTTCTTTACATGTTAAATATGGTCCAAGAAGCCTAACATTGGTGGTGGAATAAAACGTTATCAATCTCTCCCTCTCACTCACTCTCTCTCCCTCTCTCTGTATCTATTTCCTCTTTTGGTCTCTCTCTCTCTCTCTCTCTCTCTTTCACTCCCTTTCCCTCGCCATTTCTCTCTCCATCCCTCTCTCTCTCTCTCTCTCTCTCTCTTTCACTCCCTTTCCCTCTCCATTTCTCCTCTCCATTTTTCTCTCTTTCTCTTTGGCTCTCTCTCTCTCTCTCCTCACTCTATCCCTCCCCTTCTTTACATGTTAAATGGCAGAGAGGTCCAAGAGGCTATCTTCGGTGGTGAAATAAAACATTATCCAACAAACTCTCTCTTTCTCTCTCTTTGTGTCTCTCCTACGCTCGCTCTCTCTCTCTCTCTCTCTCTCTCTCTCTCTCTCTCTTTCTCTCTATCTCTATCTCTTTCACGATCTATTAATCCATCACCTCTGTCTCTATCTTTCTCTCCTCTCTCTATATATATAACTTCTGTTTTGCCTTAATACTCCTGCTCTCTCTCACTTCTCTACATCTATTCATCTTATGTTTGTCTCTCTGTACCCCTATCTATCTATCCATTTATCTATCTTGCTATCTATCCATCACCTTTTTCTGTCACCTCCCTGTCTCTCTTTCCCTCTCTATGACTTATGCCTCTTTCTTTCTCTCACCTATCTATCTATTTATTTGTCTTACTATCTATCACTTTTCTTTCTCTCCCTCTCTTTATCTCTCTTCTCGTAAATTGTAAGAGAGGTCGTTCGCTAGCTAAATTTGCGAGATTTTTTCCTTATAAACGATATTAGTTGATTCGTTCTCTCTCTTTCAGTCTTTCTCCATGTCACTTTTTGTGTTGATCTTTGTTGAGAGGATGTGTATGTTATTCTCCCATGATAATTCTTTGGACTCTTGAAGGCTCGAGTATTGAACCCATCAGCCAAAATTCCAAAGCTTAAAAAGTTAAATGTTTTTTTCGATTCTTACGAACGCGTTTATGGTGCAAAGTGAGCCAAATTTCGGTCAATTGTGAAATAATTATTGGTTTTTAGCAATCTGAACTATATATTTTGCAATCCCGCTCGTGACATTAATTTTTCGTCTTAGTCAAAGACCTTACATAAAAATAAAAGTTAATCGGAATAATTAATATAGTCAATTATGACCAATATGATTATTAAAAAAATTTAGCTGGTTGGTCTGTGTCTGCGAGGAAGCACTTTAGCCTGGTTTGACCGATCCTGATCCGCAAATTCTAGCTGTTAGCCGGCCTTGGCCGGTGGTCAGTACTTCAGTCGGCATAAAGCCAATAGCCGACTGACCCGTAGAGTACTCTGGTCAACTGACGGCAAATATTTCTTTCGTTCTCTCGTCCAATACATATTGCCATAAAGTAAATTTTCTAACGACTGTGAGATTATTGACGAGCGTGAAAAAGCCAAAAAATGAATACAACACACCTGTGTTTATAAATTATGTAATTAAGAAGCTGTAAAATGCCTGGCATATCTGAAACACTAAAACATAAAAAAACCTATTTTTACAGTTTTTAATGCCTTTTGTTTAATCTTTGTACTCTTGAAGGCTCGAGTATTGGCCTGAACCCAAAAGCCAAAACTCCAAAGCTTTTTTTATGTTATTTCGCCAATCTTGTACTTTTTCCAAGTTTGTGACTGTTCAGAAGTAAACAATAATTGCAACATATTTATAAACATGAACGTCTATTGTGTGTACGACAAAACATCCAAAAGTAAGAAGTCGATCTTTACGTAGAAAATGGCCCAATTTCCATATTACAAAGGTGTTTAATTGATTTACAACCGAGTCGAGCTACTTGTTAGGTTTATTAATTCGAGGCTCGACAATTTTGGCATCTAATGACCTCAATAAATTAACAAAGGTAAGCAGGCATTACACCCGTCAATAAATTCTCTCTAGACAGATTTACTCAATCCCCAAGGTAGTACAACATTCTGCGAAATGGCCGTGCAACCATGGTCGCGGAAATATCGGAATCGTCCCAGAAAACTATGCTAAGACAATTATTAAATAATAATAAAAAAAAATCCAAAAGAAAAAACAAACCACAAAGTTTCGATAAATTCGACAAAACGAAATCATTCTAGTCGTATAACTTTTTTGAAAGAAAACTGAAAATTTTGTATGTTGCCTGGAAATCTAGACAAGACTGTGTAAGGGACCAGCTATTTGATCATCACCAAGACCCAGGCATTTTTGCCAATTTTCGCCAAATGATTATGTTTCAATAGTCATCTTGAAACTATTATTATCAAGGCTAGTACAATGTTTTTTTTATAGATTATTTGGAGATCGTGAGATGCGGTCTGGTATGACGTAGGTTTTGGAAAAACATTTTCTTTATCGTGCCAACGTTTCGATCTTTATTGAGATCATCTTCAGGGCCTCAACACGACACCCAATAATGACACAGGAAACAAACACTTTCAGTGAGTACAAATACTTTGATTTAGTCTAAAATTTCCAGCATTGTATAAATTAATATTTTACGTGTATTTGTATAGTTTAAACAATGCTTATAAATCCAAGGCCCTGAAGATGATCTCAACAAAGGTCGAAACGTGGGCACGATAAAAAAATGTTTTTTTTAAAACCTACTTCACACCAGACCGCATCTCACGATCTCCAAATAATCACTATTTAGAAAGGTTAATTATGTATGAGGTCTTTTGTGGTTTTGGCTATATGAAGTCTCGTCATCTTGACGAACAAACTGCTCTGTTCACGAGAGCAACTGTTTCTCACCCAGAGAAAGAGATAGGCTTCGCGGTTGTCATGATTATTATTGATAGGCTATATTAAATTTTTTTTATATATTTAATTTTATTTTTATATATACTGCTGTAAACCTTGCATAGGCTGTGACCCATATTGAATTCTTATCCTCGTCATCTTCATACGTTGGTACAGAGACAATACATACAGATCCTATGTTAAAATAATAAAAGAAGAACAAACATCAAACAAAAATAAGTAACTTAGAAATATTTTTAGCCAATGCAAGGACAGAATGGAAAAAGGAAAATATAGGAAATCAATCGAAACCATTTGTTCGCTGTTTATGAGCATTTGGCCTGGTTTGTTATTAATTCTTAAAATTAAAATTTCATTTTTGTTCATCTGTAATCTCTTCTGTTTCATTTTAATTTAAAAAACTAATTTTTTAGCTACTTGATTGATTAATTAGTGAAACGTTGCTTATATGCTTTCAGCGGCGGGCGAGACCAACACTTCTGCAATACTCGCCGGTCTTGCGGGTTTAGC